AATCTTTGAACCCGTCCGGGGTTTCTGGGTTATGGACCACTACACCATGCAAAAGGGACGAGACCATTTGTCCTTTCTTCAAGTACATGTAGCCTTTGGTCGTCACGGTGGCAATGGTACCTCCCTGCGGGTTTTCGGAATTGACTGTTAGTCCCGTACCTTGGAATTGATCATCAGCAGGATGCCCCTCAACGTGGCTGATGCGAATGTGGAGAGGGGTATGAATGTCGTACTTCCGATTGCACCCGTGCCAAGTGAAATAGTAGAGGCCCTCCACCGGAGCAGTGAAGGTCCCAGTGCTCATGTTGAATCCGCCTCCGATGTTCAAGTCCTCTCGGAAATACTTCATCAAGACGGCTATATGCATGTCGTATATTGGGGATGGAATTAGATAAAATAGAGTGAAATCATGGAATATATGGGCAATTAGACTTAGGGACACTTTGAACGGAAAAGAATAATCTTCTGCCAACAGCATCTGGACAGTGACTCCAGATATGGATATTTTTACAAGATATCTGGAAGAATTCAAAAATTGAAATTTCTCTGAATTTTCAAATATTTTGAAGATTTCGAGATATTCACATTTACAATTACAAATGCTGAAATTGAATTTCATCCTCAAATGTCTTTAATTCATAAGAAAAACCTGGCTAATTTTTTGCGTTCTTTTTCCAGTTTTTTTCCAACATGGGAAGAGTGAATAGCTAGACTTGTTCTTGGACTTATTAGCAACTTAGCATTTTGAGTTCATTCTGATGCCAAAAGATTATATTCTGTGTAATTTTCTTCTGCACATTTATTTTCTTATTCTTGAAGTTGAGATAAAATGCTCTATTTATTTGGGGGAGGGGCAAACTTCTCAACCATTCATCTGCAGGAGAACTAATGACAAATACAGATTTCCATTGAAAATTTCAAGATAATGAGGTGCTGCAGGCATATGTTCCAACTGTTTACAATGTATTTGGATTTTTTTGAAAATCAGAAAGAATAGACCATAATTATAAGTGCAACTTTGAACATATTTTCCCAACAAACTTTCCACGAATAAAAATTAAAAATAAATTGGGGGTTTTCCCATCAACTTTCAAATATTTTTACGCCGCGAGATATTTCTTGTTCGTTTATTGTACAGCAAGAAATTCTTGATTACAGTATATTGGAAAATACTTCCACTGAAAATGTTGCTTTGACTGAGTGAGAATAGCACTTGTCAAGATTAAAATAAGGACAGCTTGGCTTTAGAGAGTAAATACAAATAAAGCAGTATTGCAATCTCTCAATTGCGTCAATGATACAAATATTTTTGAATTTGTAATGATAACCTTATAGCAGCTATTGTCAAGCCAGTTTAATTCTTCACTCACTATGCTGTTTGGGGTACATGAAAGGGGTTCCTTCGTCTCCTTTTGGTCCTGAAACAGCAAAGGCGACTTTTTCCTTTCCGAATTTCTGTATACATCAGGATAGAAAAAGGAGATGATGTTGACATTCAGGTACAGTATAATGGATTTTATACGCGTCTGCCTCATTCAGAGAATATCCTTTTCGAAATCTCACCTTGCCCTCACCAGAGAAGTATTGATCTGAAAATGAATATCCCAGGACTTGATGCTCTAGCTGTAACACAACAATCAGCATAAGCAACAGCATCGAGAAAGGACCCGACATTTTTGTTCTCCTAGTCGTTTTATAGATATTTTTCAATTCGTTTAAAAAAATAGAATATTAACTTATTTTGTCTATGTCGGTGTATCACTTCGACAATCAATCAAGCTGAGTGATCAAAAATGAAGGTCGCTGCAAATTTATATTCAGCAAACTGGATGATGCAGTCGGGACGATTGCTCATTGCAAATGCGCATTAATGGCGAATAATTGACAAATCACGAGTTCTTCCACGCGTTGGGCATTCGTTCAGAATTTTCTGAAGGACTCGACAGTTCGAGAAAAACGTCATTCGCGGATTTGCTTGACTTTCTCCTTTGCAAATGAGCGAGAAAATTGCCAGTGGAACTTATTCATCTCTCGTGAAGACGCTGAGAATGTGGAGTGATGTGGAGTGCAAAAATAAATTGGCCTTTGCACTCCATCAAGGATGCCGGAAACTCAGAAGATCGTCAGGATGCATTCCTTATTGGTTTGGTCTTTTGAAAATCAATTGCATAGAATTGCAATTTTTGAGAAGCTTAGAAATACCAGTCTACACACAAACTAATTCTGTGCACACAGTTTTTTGTCACGTAAAAGATATTTTTCTTCCTCACACAGAATTGGAGACAGAGCATGATTTTGTAACTAAACTCTATGAATGTAATCCTGTGCAAAAAGAGTGTAAACATGTTAAACATGATTTGGTACAAGCACTATTTGGTACAGTGACTCGGGTAGAAGTACTGTTTTTGAATCACATAAATTTTGGCACACATCAAGTATGCAACAATCACTCTTTTGGATCTCCCATTCCTGGGTACAAGCTGATTTGGTACAAACAAAATTTGGTACTAGCATTATTTTGTACAAGCAAAGCTGGTAAGCAATAAGTTGATGAAAGGAAACAAGGATTACATGCGCAAAGATGTTTTCTAAAAATCCTTGTTTTAAATTGCAAAAATCTTGAAATTTAACAAAGATACAAGCAGAAAAGCAAAAAATGTTCTGAAAATCATACATAAATCCATAAAAATGGCTTCACTTTTCCATTTTTAGCTAATTCATTTTTTAAAAATTTTCAATGGAAAAATATTCAACTTGTAAAACATTTTATAGAAAAAAAAATCATTCTAAAGCATGCCATCAGGATGAATGATGAGTTAGTCTTCATCTTTGTCTTGTTGAACATCCTTAGCCATTGCTACTTCCCAAATAATCCATATAGAGCTTTGGTCCCAACATCTCTCATGCTGTACAGCAGGCATCTGCTGTTAACATCAAAAACAAAAGCAGCCAATGCCATTAACTGGATTCATCATGGCATTCACATAAATGCTGACTTTTATTTTCTTTTAGTGATCTGAATTTCAAGATACCTTGAAATCTTCAGGTCAGAAGCACAATAGGGTATATTTGAACCTGGATTTGAATTCTGACAGTCTTCCCAGATATGTTGCATGCCATAATCATTGATCCCATTTTACAGAGGACCCCCAGGTTAAAGATGGCCTAGTTTACAGACTTTCAAGTTATGGACCATGTCTGTTTCTGGGAGAACAGAGATGGACCATCTGTTGGGCCGATTACGACAAAGACTTAAGAAAATGAAGGAACACAGTCACGCAGCCTTTAACGGCCGGATCCTCTGTATGGGAGTCCCTTAAATCAGCACACTTTAATACAAGCCACAGGTAACCGCAGAAGGACTCTACAAGACTTGCAGACACACACACTCTCAGACGTAATTCATACAAGACAGCTCTCAGCAGGAATTCAATAACCGCCATCAGGCAAGGCTCTCATAGTTCTGAAGTCTTTGGAGACTTTGTCGGGGCCTCCGCCACCCTGTAGATGAGTATCAGTTAATTAGGCAGTTTATGGCAATGGGGCAAACCGGGTGCCTATCCGCTTCTGGGTCCCTGATGGGCTGCAAGTTGTGTGTTGGCATGCCCAAGCAAGGATGCTACGCTTGGGTCACGCTACGTAGACGCAACCCCACACCATCTCTTTTCTCTGTTTAAAAAAACACGGACATTCTATATTTGTACAACACCTGCCGATTATGCACTGTGAATACATTCAAAAATAATGAAGCACAGTTATTAGTCCATCAATCACAAAATCTTGAAAAGTTCTAATATTTTTAAATTATACATTTTTTTATTAGCTGTATTTAAAAATTGGAATTTTGTGCATAATTCACTTCTTGGCAAATTTCCTGAAATGGAGCATTGGGAAGAAGAACAGAAATAGAAATTAAAATTCTTCAGTTCAGGACATCCTAACATTTTTGCTTTTGATTTCTTTCAAAATTGCTTCAGGTTTTCATTTACACTGATGCTTTACAAGTTTATTTATTTTTAATCAAATATGTTCAATATTGAACTGAGAAAAATTCTAAATATGAAAACGTTTTTTTTTTGGATTCATGTACACTTTCAAAAACGTTCTTTTTTATTGCTTTTCTGCTTGTAACCCTGTCAAATTTCAAGATTTTTGCATGCTCAGATGATAAAGTTAAAAAAATTGTTTGCGCATGCAATGCTTGAAGCAATTGAAAAATGTTTTGAAAATTGAATTTCTCACAAATTTCCAAAGTTTGCAAAATGGGAAATGAACCTTGGAAATTTTGAAGCATAGATGAAACCTCAGAAATTTTACATATAAAACTATGGCAGATCCTATTTTGGTTTACAGACTATAGTCCATGGAACAAATGAAGTCTGTAAACCGGGGGTCAACTGCATGGGTACAACAGTTGTGGTCCTTTAAATAAAATTCAATTACGTGGAATTTGTGGAAAATAATTCACGTGGAAAAGTCTGGTGCAACCAGCAAGAAACTTTCCCACATAATATGTACCAATTTGTAGTCATTTTTGTAATGACTGTATATCATGACGTTAAAAATATCTGGCAAATGCAGAAGAAACTTCTGAGTTCTGAAATTTCGGAATGAAAAATTTTCAATCAAACGATGACTTTCGTGGACTGCGAAATAAAAAACCAAACCATCCAGCATGAATAATGAATTTGAATATTCTTATTATTATTGTGCTGGCAAGATTCCTCTACAATAAAGGGCAGCTCTCAAATTCTACGTTTCCATTATTTGACAACGGCCGAAAAGATCAATTCTGTGTTGCAGTTCATCATTATAAAATGAGCTGCTGCTGAAACTCGACTAGCTGAAATAAAAATAGCGCCATTCATCTGTTAATTTAGTAATTGGCGCGTTTTATGTCCATAGATTGTGAAATGTGACATCAGAATGACCATCATCACTCTTGCCACATTCCTATGTAATTGTGATTTTAACAACTACTGCATTATACGGAAGGAGTTGCTTATAATGGTGGCATCCCAGAGCCCAGTACAATATCCATTGCAAAGTTGTACAGTCAGCTCCAGCAGTTTTAATTTTAGCATAAAAATTTTCAGCCCAGTGTACGAACATGGCAAACACGCAGTGCAGGAAGAAAGCCCCGTCCCATTGCTGGAAAGCAGTTCTCGCGCTCGCTATTAATATTTTAATCACGCGGATTTCAGTCAGCGAGTGCACAAATCACGCTTACGACCAGTCAATGAACGTGAGATTCTCTGTTGGGATTTTCCGGAATGAACATTTGATTGATGTTTAGCTCTAATCTCTTTACCTTCAGGAAATCGACCAGCCTGATGCAAAGCACATGCAGAACCATGACCCGATCCTCTTCACTACAATCGGACAAGAGCATCTGCCATTGACGGAGATGGATGCGAAAAGTAAGATTTTTAGGGGTGACAATAACTTGGGTTTCACTTTCCTTCTTTCAAAATTACCTAAAATGTTCCTATGGAATGCGTAAACTTATGATGGGGATTCTTCAGAATTCAGTGCTATGTTGCTGATTTTTGTTTGGGATATTGAGATCTTGCTACCAAATTCTTTGGTTTTAATTGAACCTAAAAAAAAAGTATTTGAATTTATCCTCAAGAAATTCTATTCATGCAGTTTCCGAGTTTGGGAACTTCGCCTGATCTGTGTATAATAGATTCATCTAGAAACTTTATATTCCATGTTCAATCGGCTTCGAGAGTGCAAATGTTTCGATTATACCCGCAGAGGAAAGTTGAATCAATTATCGGACGCAATAATTGCTTCACAAAGTTCGACTGAGGAAGGTTCAAGCTAAAAATGTAGAATTCAGGTTGGCTTAATATGCATGGCTCTATAGTCTTGAGACGGCGAAGAATTCACCAAAAATTATATGTGAGGGTTTTTTTTTTTTTTTTTGGTGCAGCAAAGTAAGATCAAACTCATTACGCAACGTAAATCTGGTTTAAATGTTTGAATGCCATTTTGATGTGTTGAGCTGGAGTCCAAATGTTCATTAAATGAAAGCATTTGTGTGACGGTGCAAAAAATTTAGTTTTGGAACATGTACCGTTTATCTCAGAAAAGTAGAAAACTCCTGCAGAAGATGCTCGCCATTATTTTGGCGAATAAATCGAGAATCCTTTTTCTTGAGCAATACAATTTTTGAGAAGGGTCCACATGCATATTGTTACAAACAAACATCACATTCACACCTGGAAAATCTTTTTCTTATGAATATCCACTACATAGCATTTTCCCCAATATATTTCCAATTTCCCTCGGAGAGAGTCTATATGTAGCATAGATACAAACAATATCGAGATATTTTCGTTGTTGAATAAATTCTTAAATGATGTAGATGATACAGTATTTTTCAATTAACGAACGAGCAAAATACTCGAAAATTGAATTACAAACCTATATTTATTTTTATGGATATACGATTTAGAAAAATACAATGTCAATGAAAATCCAAGAGGAAATAATTTTTTTTTTGTTTTCGCAGGGGATGTTTCCTGCATCGATGTTTCTAAGTCTTCATGGTACTGTTCTGAACACTGTTGATCTGAATCTCATTGTATTCAACAGGATTCCGGCCAGAAATTGCGGTGCTGAATGTGGGGCGCGGTTTCAAGCCCAGCATCGGATACTTTGTAGCCCCACGGGACGGAGTTTACTTATTCAACTTCGTAGGATTGATTTACAATCTACCAACAGATGTCACTTACCCTTGGATAAACATGGCACATCAAGGACATCCTGAACATGATTCTTTGGTGGCCTGGAAACTCACGGACCCTATGACAAGCGCTGGCCACAGCCTCGTGAGCATGAAGAAAGATGATGTGATGGAGTATCATGGCAGAATGGATTCCTATTGGACAAACTATTTGGAAGGCCTGGAGTTTATTCATGACAACTGGTGGCGACTCAGTGGAAGATATATAGCTGATCTACAGGTCAGATCTACCGTGGACCCTTGTTTCACAAACCTAATAGGTTCCAGATAAAAGTTTGTTAACCAAAACTTGATTTTCCCATAGACTTCAATTTGGAAGAATTTAATTTTTTTTAGTGAACCAAAAAATTGAAGATTGAATATAAAAAAATGCAAGAAAATGAATTATAATCAGAATAAGTTGTTGCTTTATCTTATACTGTATACTGTAATCCCAAAATGCTCTTACATTGTTTTATGGAAGTATAGTACTGATGAAAACAAATAAGATAAAATGGCTTCTCTTTTGGAGAAACACACAGGTGAAAATTAAATTTATTTTTTAATGCTCCAAGTAAATATCAAATGAACCTTTCTAACAATTGAAGCACTATAGAAAAACAAAGGACAAATAAGAGGCACATATGAATAGTGTAGCACTGTTACAAATTTTAAGACACAAGATTACACATATTAGAGTGCCAGAATGAAAGAATTTTCTCATCAGTGCACAGGTGTATTATTTGCACTTAGATTGTATGTACAGTACCATGAATTCCAGCCTTAAAATAATATTTTGAATTTTCAAATTTTGAATTTTTCCTCAGAAAAATTCTTTATTCAAATTTTGGTTGGTCAATTGAGGGATTTTTCCTCAAAGCGAGAAGTTTTTTAATCAAGGGTCCACTGAATAGGAATAGTCATAGATAGACATGTCCAGCATAAAAAACATGATACCATTGTACTTTCCTGAACCATGTAACCTTAGGACCCTGATGCAGTTGCCTTTTCTGTGGCAGGCATACTCAATGATGCCATGCAGTCTCCAACAGAATGTGAGCATTTTACATTCCTTTCATCATTTTTGTAGTTCTTGGACTTCCATTGATCAATGTTGGAAATTGGGCTAGAAAAAGCCTGTGAAAATTCATGGACAGAATAAATTACCAAAGCAATAATCCATCACTATAGTTGAAAAGCTGCAAAACTTCTCAGGTGTGTTCTCCCCTCCTTTCTCTAAGAAAACATTGAAAATTGAAAACATTACGTAGTCTGATGTTAAGGATAGTTCTTCATGAGCTTTCTTGGGTTTTTATACCCCCTCCCCATATTTCCTAACCCAGGAAAATGTTTTGAACCAGAGGAGGTTCCAGTGAATTTTATACAGTTGTTGCCCTTGGTTCCACCTTATGTCCCAGCAGGAACCAGTCACACAATCACATTTTGAATGGGAAATTTGAGACTGCGCCTACGTTCATTTTGGATTTTTCATTAAGAAATCTTAACATGTCTCCAATAAGATTGTTACACTGGAATTGGTAAGTTTGCTGTAATAAGATTTCAATAAGATGTACCATATAGGATTTCTGCAAAGACTTTAAAAATATAGTTTTTTTATACTGAAAAGTTTGTTTTAGCATTCTTTGTTCTAATGACATTTTACTCTAGTTTGATTTGAAGACAATCAAGTATGATGGAATTATCAGAGTGAAATTTCCTGGCAGTTCATTATTCTTCTTCAATTTCTTCCAGGGATGCTTGTGCAATTCAATTCAGTCCACTTGAATACCGGAAGTGGATACAACAGTTCCAGTGCAACATTTGTGGCACCCACATCAGGCTTATATCACTTCTTCCTTCAGTTTCCAGGACGAAATGAGCTCCAGGGGGAGGCTAGGATCCAGAAAGTGGACCTTCTGTTGGCTGCTGGTTTAGTTGGGGAATTTGAGCATATTACTGTTGATATTGATGTAATCTGTGAATTGCAAGAGGGGGAATCTGTTTTTGTTTCAATGCTGGGAAGCATTGGAGGGACTTCTGGGGAAATCAAGTTCTCTGGGTTCCGCATGGAGTAAAACCTACATGTAGCAACTGGAATTCATGGGTCAGAATCACAGAAGCTCTGGTTGAATTCAATACATCTTGCCATCTTCTTTTCTCCACAGAATGTTTTTGTAGTGTTATCAAAGGTGGAATTTGGGCACATTTGGATTGTGGTGATGGGCTGAAAACAAAAATGTCAACTGTATGGTGCATGCAAATATAGTACAGGATTAAATGAAAATGACTTATATATTTGATCTAATAGATAGACAATTTGAATGAAAACTTTCAAAAAATGTTGTCATGCAACTCTTCCCACTAAGCTGCTGTCTCTAAAACCTAGCAAAAGTTCCATTTAAATTATGAAAACCCACATCATGTCGCCAGAAACAAAATCCAAGAGAATGACAGACAGCAGGAAAATATATAAGCCCATAAAAACCCACCCAGCAGGTGAAAACCAGCAGGGAACACAAAAATCATTCATGCAGCATGCACACAAAAAAATATTACCAAGATGCAGGAAATCAAAGAACCAGACAACCACCCAATTGGTTCACTGAACATTCATTGGAAGATGAGCCAGAAAAATCAAGCCTGGGTGGACAAAGTAATACCTAAAAATCCTGCCATGGTCAGGATAGGAAAACAATGTACATTCCTGGTGCGAATTTTGAGGAATTTCCAGGGGGATGATGTTTGGTATACTTGGGGTTTGCGGGGGGGGGGGGGGGTTAGGTGCATTTGTGCATTTGCATTGGAATTTCCCTCACAGCTCTTGTTCTCCAGGGTTGTTTTTATGGATAAGTGGGGTGCAGAAATTTAGCCGCAGCAAATCCATGATACTTTCCGCAGTGTGCACACATTCCCAAAATTCATAAGAAAACATAGAAGTGAGAGAAAAAAGTTGATGAGTGAGATATTTCACTGCTCCCATCAGTGAGGAATTTGTTTCCCCCTGCACCATGGTAGGATTTTTAGGTATTGCTTTGTCCACCCAGGCATGATTTTTCTGGCTCATCTTCCAATTGTGTTCAGTGTGAGCTGATTGGGAGGTTGTCTGGTGGCATGATTTCCTGCATCCTGGGTTTTTGTGTGCATGCCATGCTGATTTTTGTGTTTACTGATGCTGGTTTTTTCCTGGGTGGGTATTCATGGGCTTATTTATTTTCCTGTCTGTATTTATCTTGGGTTTTGTTTCAAGTTTCCATTCAACTGGTTTTTGTGACTGTTTGATGAAACTTATATAGGACTATAAAACAAAAAAAAACATTTGAAATAAAATGGAATAAGCTTTTATTTGGTGTTTTTTCATTGTCGTAGCTGACTTTTTAACAGAGATATCCTAATTGCAAAATCGGTTCACTTTTTTGGCACATCACTTTGTATATGCTGTATGAGTAGCATAATCTCAAACCATGCTGAAAATTCAAAATTCTCAATTAAATACTATATTCCAACTTTTAAAATGCATGCCCAGCATTCCTATCTGAAAAGTATTTCAATGCAAAAGCATCATCCGTGCTCTCTTTTATTTAACCCAACATAGGTGGCAACCCGTTCAAATAAAGTCTTGGCGTTGAAATGTTACCCACATAAAGTTTTTCCAATTTGAAAATTCCTTGAGAAATCCGTGTTTCAAATTACTTCACTTTTTCCTCATATGCATTATTAGCAACCTTTCCACAGCAAAAATGTTTTTCGATTACCGCGATAATCCTTCCATCATGTTATTGCAGTTGATAATACAATACAATATTATATTTCAAACACGGAACGGAATTATACTGTGCTTATACTGTAGTCATAATGTACATCACATTATTCAACATAAGGTTTATATAGCTTTTAATAATCTTGAAAGATGTTGTTTTTTGCAAATCATTCCACTTTCTGCTGCGTAACCTTGATTTGTTCGTATTTCTCACAGCGCAAGTAGGTATAAAATATAACTCATGCGATGAATATGTTTCAAATTATAAAGAATAAAAATACCGTTGATATATGATATTCAGAACCCTTTATATATGCAGTAAGAATCAAGCTTTGTCAGAAATAATACGATACAATACTGCTGATATGATGTTCTTAACCGCTATCCTGTAATTAAGTTTACTGTATACATTTTTCTTAATACAGTCCCTGCAGTATGGCTATTGTATAAACCCAACTTATTAGAGATACTGTAAGCTATATACCCGGCATCAACAAGAATAACTCTGCTTTGTTACCTTCGGTGAAGTCTGGTGAAATTCATCGTTAACTATACAGATTCAGATAAAAGTTTCTTCGGGAATGTGGCCGAGAAACTTCGGATTAACCCGCCCGCGTCAAAAACTGCTGTTGGCAGCAGAAGAATCAGCCAAACTAGACAGACTTCCTGATGAAATCTTTGTGAAAGTTTTTTCATTCCTTCCTCTACGAGATCTTCTCTCCTGCAAGAAAGTTTCGAGGCAGTGGGAGAAAAATGCGAGCAATCCGGCGTTATGGCGGAAGTTAAATTTTGCTGTCCAGAACAGGTTCAGGGAAGACGCCTTACTTGCTCATTGGATTGGTTCGAATGTCAAGCAGCTGACCGTGAAGATTGATAAGGACTTGAATGTTAGTACTGTATGATTTTATTTTTTAGTTCATCATTTGAAAAATGTCAGTCATTTCCTCTCAATTTAATTGACGAATGGATGCTCAAATCAATCGTCACTGTTGATAGACTTGTGTTCATTTGTCGGAACTGGTCACCTTTTCTCCCATTAAAGATTTCAATAGGAAAATATTATACTGTACTGTATAATCACTTCTCGTATTCTGCAAATAATTGGAGAAAGTCTGCTAAATGTCAATAAAAAGTGTTTTTTTACTGTTATAAAGCCCAGAAAATCATTTTGCAGAAGAAAGCCCCGCGTGTACTCGGTGTTATTATTTTGGCATGAATATAAAGAGAATACAAAATGCAAAAAATAAGCTTGTCAAGAGTATTTTATGATATACTGCTGTACACAGCTGATAAAAAAAACTCGGATGAAAAGGGAATACACCAAGTACTCAATTTAGCCCGTTTTGGAAATTACATCAGAGTAAATTCGAGGAATAAGTTACCAATAAGAATTTTAGTTTATGTCCATAGCTCAAGTTGTTCATGATCGATTTCGACATTTTTATTTCTCTACTGGGCCTTTTGGAAAATTTCCCACATATATTGAGAAATTAGTGTGGCAGATTTTTAAAGTTGAAATTTTCTATGAGTCAAATCGTCCGCATTTCGGGTGTCCGTATACATACAGTATCAGGCACCCAGCAAGGATTTTTTAATATTTTACTCGTCATAGGTGGTTTTATATATTCAGTTTGCAGCAGGTTTTCAACAGAAACAAATCGCATTAGCTTATTCTTCAAAACCATATCAATTCTGTTTTTTTCCTCGTCCCCGCAGAGCTACTTGACTCTGATTTCCCAAACATGCCAAAATGTGGAAACCCTGAAGCTGTTTTCGTTCTGGGAGCAGATTCCAGCTTCTCAGTTGCTGGAGGTGGCAGAGAACTGTTCTCACTTGAAGTGCCTCACCATTGTTGGCTGCGATTTGTCTGAAGCTTCTCTGGCTGCTTTAGCCCAGTTCCCCACATTAGTGAGCTTGACCATCAGGAAATCCAGTCACCTCGCACCAAAAAGTGCGGATCCTCTTCTAGAGGGTCTGTGCAGACAACCATCACCAGTTTTTGATGAGGCAGACTTGATGAAAAGTGGACAGCAGAAGAGAGGACATCTGATTGAATTGGACATTGTTGATCATCCAGCGAGTTCCACTGCATTGTTGTGTTTCCAGAGAATGAATGGTAGGAAGTTGAACAAGTTGGGATGCAGGATAGCCAGGGCACAGGAGGCAGTTACTGTTGCCAAAATGGTGGATGAAAATATGGACACGCTGTATTTGCGCTACTTTGAAACTCCTTTGTCTGCATTTGTGAATGGGTGCAAAGCGGAGAATTTGGTTGGTTTGAAAAAGCTGCGTATCACTTGCCAGGTTGGTTCCTCATGAAATTTGAAATGAATCATATTACAGGTGAGTATCAAAATGACTTATTGCACTTTCATCAGTCAAATCCCTCCATATGTCTGTTGAAGTTGTGATATTTTTGCAAAATTGTGTGCCCATGAGCACTGAAAATTAAAAATTTTTATTTTTGAACCAAGGCCCAAATTGGAAAAAGGTTTGATATTTTTCCTTATCCTGCGAACAATTTTGCATGAAAAATGAAAAAAAAATTCTTCACTGGATATTGGCATTTTTCCTTTATCCTTGCTAGTAATCGGATTGGAGATTTCTCAAGAGAATAGGATACAGTACTTACTAACTGGATTTTTCCCAACTTGGTCTTCCCAACCCACAGGCATTTATGTGACCGTGGATCACATAAAATAACAGATATATCAACTTTATATAATTACAATATACAATGGTGTGTGTATATATATATATACACAATCAGCACCACTGCCACTGTCAAAATGTGTTCTCTGCCTGAACTTCCCAGAAGTAAAATATAATTCCAGAGGTATTTGTATATGATGGACAGTTGATGGAATGGGTATTTAATCTTCAAAATTGCTTTTCTTCATGCATCTTATTATATTATTTATAAATTAGCACCCACCCCTCTGAATACTCATTTTGCCTTCAAATTCTATGCAATACAAATATTTAAAGACTTGAACATTCAACCTGTTTCTATTATTAACAAATTATAGCTGATCTGTGAAGATCAGTGGAAAGTAGAATGTTTTTATTCAAAACAAATTCAAGAATTACAGTTCGAGATGAAGGCTGCATATTTATCAGGCTTCCCCTTTTATTTTTCTCTCCAGAAACGTAATCCTGATTTTTCAAAGCGGTTGGAAGGAAAACCTCAGACAAACTTTCATAATTTTTTTTCATTCACGGGATTTTCATTTTCCGCAAGATTTTTAGGCCTACACGAGTTTTGGCCCCTCAGCATTTTCGAGCCGCGTGATTTTCTCTTGCACCTCTCCACAGCTCACATTTTATGGAGGTTTTTTGGCTATTAAATTTATTATTGAGACAGGAATAACATAAGAATTGAAGAAATAAAAATGCAACTTCATGTGCGTTGGCAGGAAGTGAAAGACTGATGGGGCAACATTTGCCCAATCAGTCTTTCCTCCACGTTCAGCATCCTGTCAACTACTGTAATTGAAAAAAACACAATTTAATGCACAGAATATCACCAATTACTATTTCCTGTAATTCATCTTTCTTACGAGGGTTCTAACAAAAGTTCTCGGAATGGAAATGAAAATGGCGTCTAATCGAGCTGGAAAAAATTATTCTTCAGGAAAAAAATATTCTTCGGAACATAAAAAAAATTAGCCCTGTTTGAAAATTTTTTTTTGTTTTGCAAAATTCACCATGACAGAGTTTTGCTAACTAATTCCAAGGGTTTACTCCAAGTCTTCCAAGGTAATTCCGCCATTTTCATCAACAGCCGCCTTCACAGGCGCCAATGTGGCGGCTGTGTCAACGTGGTTGTGCCAATGTGGCGGCTGTGCCAACGTGGTTGTGCCAATGTGGCGGCTGTGAAGGTGGCCATCAATGAAAATGGCGGAATCACCTTGGAAGACCTCAAGGCAACCCTTGGAATTGATGCCAGGTTGATTTCAAAAATTCTGAGGGAAACGCTGGGCTACCAAAAAAAATAACTGCAGGAAGGGCGCCTCATCTATTAAGTGGATAGCAAAACTCTGCCACAGTGAATTTTGCAAAACATTAAATAAAGTTGTCAAACAGGGCTGATTTTTTTGTGTGCCAAAGAATATGTTTTTCCTACAGAATAATTTTTTTTTCAGCTTGATTAGACGCCATTTTCATTTCCATTCCGATAACTCTTGTTAGAACCCTCGTATGTATCGTGACAAATTAAGATGCTTGTTTCCCTTAATCGAAAACTCACTAATTTCTCTCCTGGTCCTATGAAGTTCGACTCAAAGAGGTTTGACTACAGTACATTATATTGTACACTCGTGTAAATCATAGGAAGAAACCTTATTCCCAACGTTTAAATTTGCTGGACAGAATTGCTACGCCGTGAGCCTGGTTTCCCTCCTAACCCTTCTGCCAAACCTCACTCATTTTGCTCTGGAAGCTGACTGGGCACCCAACCGACGTGACATGGACGCACTTCCCGACACGTTGCAATTGCTGTTCCTGTCGGGTGTCGCATCAGTTCCGGTCGACGACGCGGTTCGGACTTTGACTCGGTTGACGCAACTGCGAACTGTTCAACTGACGACTCCTCCGGATTTAACGGATAAGCTGGTGCAAGTTCTCGCCCAAGGATTAACCAAGTTGCGTTTCGCAAAGTTTTTGTCTGACGAGCATTTGACTCAGAGGAAACGAGACTTGCTGGCAACGGTGGCCAAGAACAAGAGGAAGTCGGCCGCGGAAAAAGTCATGTATTTTTATGTCGGTGATCGATTCGGGTTTGGTTTTCATTATCCCATTCCTGCGGCTTTATCTATTGTAGATCATATCTTGAATTCTTTTCTGAAGAATGTTTACTAGCTGAGTTTCTATGTTGAGGAAAGAATCCAGACGGCCCTCTATTATGTGTACTGTACACGCATTATTCGCACCCAGGGGTGCCCAAGATACGGCCCGCGGGCCGGATCTGGCCCTTGGAGCATTTCTGTCTGGCCCATGACCGTCAGCCCACAAGCCACCAGAAATATTACTTTCTTCGACCAACATGCAGATTGGTCCAACTCCTGAATATAAATTTCAAGAAATCCCGGGGTAATCAATAGCATCTTTCTTTTGTGTTACTCGCTACTTAATTCAAAATATCATCACTATAAAAACAATATTTTTAATTCTGATGAATTTAAAGATGACCAATCGCTTTGACATGATCAGTTCGGGTCTCCGGCCATTACGCATGCAATTATACTTTGGCTTATCTGTACTGTTTTCCGATTCTACCCGCTATTCTGACGTTTTAGCTAGGATATTAATTTTTCCGAAGTGTTTTATAGAGTTGTTTTTCAAATATGAATGTTATTTTCTATGTACCAGTCTTACCATCAGATAAAATATGTTCACCAATACCGAGTTAATTTGATTAATTTCAGGCCAGTAAAAGGTAAAAGACAGTGAAAGGAACATATTCATTTTTAACCCTCCATCTACATTTTCAAAATAATAATCCATAATTTTTTCATGTGACCCGCAAAGACTCTCCTTGCAATGTGGCCCGCCCCCTCGCCCTTCTTAGTTGGGCACCACCATTACTTATTGAGCACAGTAATGTTCGCAGCAGTTTCACGAACTTTCAAGAAATGTGTCATTCTGTTTATTTTGTTTAACACTACATTTTCTCTATAGATCAACACTTCACATGTTAGATTTTGTTAATTCTCAACTCCACGACCCACCTAAAGAATCAAGAGTAAAAATTGTTACATTGAGATTATTTAAAATGAGTTCATAAAAATGTGATTTTTATAACATTGATCCATGGAGAAACTGTTGAAAACAGAAAAACAAAATTCCTCATGATTAGATTCGTTGTAGCGGAATTTCCAGCCCATAAATTTGACTGCTATAAAAAACAAGATAATGCTCTTAAATCACGTTGAGCACATTCATTTTTGTAAGAAAAAAAGACGAAGAGATAAAGACCGAAGGAGCTGTACTGAATTTTTCGGCAGGTGTTGTAACGGGTGCAGTACATCAGTTGAAGGTTGGTTGATGCGTGGTAAAGGAATAAATACAGAAATTTAGCATTTCTCTCGGCGTACGAACCGCAAACGAAAAGAAACCACTTCTCGTGAATAACTCCCCAATATTGCTTTCAGCGCAGCGCTGAATAAGAAGTGCTCCAAGTTTCAGACGCTGAAATGCTGAATAATCGTAAGATTGGATTGGTAGAAGGCGCGACCCAAATTTAACCATGGACAGAATGATCAGTGAATCAGTCAAGAAATTCGTGGTTTTTACTCGAACTTCCGGACGTTTAAAAAATGTGACTGGACACACAATGAAATAAAAAGAACAAAGCGTTGAACAAGAATTCTAACGAACCACTTTTACGGAGACAGAACGCTTGAATCGTTCAATCACCGCCGAGCTGTGACACGGGAATTCGAATAACTAACACCTTTTCGCACCGCCGAAAACAAACACGTCTGGATTGTTTCCGAAATTTTCATCTGAACATTGCACGACTTAACCCGACCAGCCGGAAACGAAGTCAGAGACCACTTTTTTCAACTTCCCGTCAGTCTCAGGCGTAAGCTGACCATCTTTTGCGATTGTCTCCAAGATATCCTTATGGGAAGATCTAGAGGGAAATTTAAAAATTCCAAAATTATTATTACCCTAAAGCAACATGAAAAGCAGTTCTAAAAAGAGCAAGTTTGGATCCTGATCACAAGTGAAGGATGCAATCGATCAACTTGAATTCCGAATTTCTCACATTCAACTTCCGAGTATGAGTACTAAAGGTTCTAATTACGATGCACGAACAGAAAATACGGCGAATAGTGCTGAAGAATTCCAACCAATGAAAGCATAGAAAATTGAAATGTAGCCCTTCAAGTTCGGTCATATTTTGAGTTTCAAGACGCTCGGAGATATCAGATATGCTTGAGTTTAGTTTTCTCACAAGGAAAATTGAAGTACCGTAAGAAAGTCCGGAAAAACTGTACTTACAGGATGTGAGCTTTGAAGTCTTTCTCGAATGCAGTGATTTTGGCTGGATCAACTTTGTCCAAGAAACCTCGCACACCACAATAAATAATCGCTACCTGCTCTTCAATCGCCATGGGAACTGAAAATAGATGAATAGAACAAGGCTCGTCAGGGATGGATCTGGAAAATGCAATCCGAACCGAAATACAGAACTAGAAATACCGGCTATTCGGATCACAAACCAATTGCAGTGACAATCATTTCCACGAAAAGACGATAAAAATGGTCTACTAGACTAACTAGAGTACACAAAGGCAACTCAAGAACGCCTGAATAAAATAAAAACTAAAAGCAGTACCTTGAAGTAAGCAAAAATGTCTCAAGCGTGAGATATTAATTACTTGACAGTTTTCTAATATTTTACAACCCAACAGAATTAAGAATATATTATTGTACTGTACTTGAAAGTCTCACCATATTGCCCTTGCTTCAAAAGTTCAGTGAGTCGAACGCCGCGGTTCAACAGTTGCTGTGTGGCGGCATCCAAGTCGGAACCGAACTGCGCAAAAGCTGCCACTTCACGGTACTGGGCCAACTCGAGCTTCATACTTCCGGCAACCTGCTTCATAGCCTTTGTTTGGGCAGCAGAACCGACACGCGACACAGAAAGACCGACATTGATAGCTGGTCGGATGCCCTTGTAGAATAATTCTGTTTCCAGGAAAATCTGCCCGTCTGTGATGGAAATCACGTTTGTGGGGATGTACGCTGACACGTCGCCGGCCTAAAGTATCAATCGTAAATTTACAGTAGTCTTTCTTCATGCCTTTAAGTGGAACGTGAATTAGACGGTTTTAATCGGAAAACTGAAACAGTGCTACCCCAGATATTTGACCATTCCCACCATGATGTTCGACATCCACTAAAGACGCAAAACACAGTACTGTTACTGTACCTGGGTTTCAATGACAGGCAAGGCAGTAAGTGACCCGCCTCCATGAGTCTCATTCATCTTTGCAGCTCGTTCGAGGAGACGAGAGTGCAAGTAGAATACATCACCAGGATAAGCTTCACGACCTGGAGGTCGCCGCAACAGCAGGGACATCTGACGGTAAGCGACCGCCTGTTTAGACAAGTCGTCGAAGATGATCAGGGCGTGCTTGCCATTATCACGGAAGTGTTCACCCAGAGCACACCCGGTGTACGGTGCAAGATATTGCAGCGGGGCTGCATCTGAGGCAGTTGCTGACACAACGATTGTATATCGCATCGCATCTGAAGGACAACATTAATCATTAAATTTTTTACTGTAACAAAAAAGAAAAAAAATTTTTTTTAGACGAAGTCCGTTCAACTCTCAGAAAGCCATCCGTAAGTGATTTTAAAAGTCAGCCGTATTGGTAATGAGGTAATTTTTTTCTTGGCGCTAGGGAAACAAGGTTGAAGTATATTTTAAATCTAACTAAAAAGAAGCTGTTCTAACGTCAAATTTTCCCCAAAAAATGTCTTCGGTTCACTAAGTTGGATTTTTGTCTAGAAAATTGTATTGAAACACTGTAAGCCTCGATTACATCACAAAGCGGAAGATTAACGAAGTACACGTCGAAAAGTGTAAGTTGTGACGGGTCTATCTCTGAAAGTCATGAAATATATAAATTGTGCGTGGCAACTTGAAGAACGGTAGAAGAAAAGTTCTATTACCAGAATCAGTCAATCGCTTAACGATCTGGGCAACGGTCGATCGCTTCTGGCCAATAGCGACATAAATACAGTACAATTTCTTCTTTTCATCAGCACCGTCATTGAATCGCTTCTGGTTGATGATTGTATCGATGGCGATAGCGGTTTTGCTGAAAAAAAATCCGCTTAAATAAAAATTTTAAAGTTTACAAATGGTATGGCCCCTCACCCCGTCTGCCGATCACCAATGATCAGTTCTCGCTGACCACGTCCAATCGGTACAAGAGAATCTACGGCTTTGATGCCACTTTGCATGGGTTCCCGCACACTGATGCGTGGAATGATGCCTGGGGCTTTGACTCCAACACGAGACCTAAAATTAAAATTATCCAGATTAAAAATTAATAAAAGAGCAGAGTTACACAAATTTCAAAAATTAAAATCATGTGTACATTACGCATTAACATGACTCGGATATTCAAACTAATCCGGACCAGAGGAAGACAAGTTACTTTCAAAATTACAAGGAAGGCTAAAACGCGAGATACACATACGAGAATATGCAGCATGAATTTATACGGGAAACTTACAGGTAGCAAACTCCTTACGTGCACGAATTGTGCAGTCGTAAGCTTCAAGATATCGAATGGCGTACCTCGACTGCGACTTGACTGGTCCTTTTCCATCGATGGCATTTCCCAAAGCGTCGACAACACGACCAAGCAGGTCGTCACCAACGGGTACATCAACGATAGCACCGGTTCTTTTGACGATATCACCCTCCTTAATAAGCTTATCGTTACCAAATACGACGACACCCACATTGTCAGGTTCCAAGTTCAACGCCATTCCCTGACATCAAACATAAATTTCGCAGTCGATAAACCCAACCTACTTTTTTCACTGCAGGCAATGGAACTAAAAATCAATGAAGAAAGAAATTTTAATAGACTTGTTTCTGTAAACGATTAAGAGTATTCCAAACCTCAGAATAGCATTTGAGCCATTCATGAAAATAGCACCTACCTTCAGTCCGGATGAGAATTCAACCATTTCTTCGGCCTGAATATTCTTTAAACCATAGACGCGGGCAATACCGTCACCGATGCTCAGAACACGTCCTTAAAAATAGGAAAAAAAGGATTTAAGCAAAAATTTGATTTAAAAAACTATAGATAACTCACCAGTTTCTTCTAAATCGATCTTTGTAGAAGCTCCAAGAATCCTGTCTTCTAAAATAGAAGAAACTTCGGCTGCCTTGGCGACATTTCCCGTCGCGAAATTTCTTTCCCTTAGCTCAGCATGTTTCGCTGATCCGTTCAAGACCAGGGCAGCAATAGCGTTCTTGTTTATCTTAAAAATTCGAGATGAAAACATGGAAAATTACAAGCTACACGTGATCACATTCCCAGTCTCACCTTTCGAGCGCTACGAGGCAACTGATGCGCAAGGGAAGCAGAACGCCGAACGAGAAACATCGTGTCACACCTCGAATAAATACAACCCGCACCGGAACCACGCGCACAGGGAGTTAAGCCGCCTACGGAATAATTTCAGACAGTTAAAATTCTTACACGAGGCTGAACTTGTTGATGGAAAACTTTCGAAAACTTCAAGTATATGAAAACCTTTCCACAAAACGTGTTCCACTTTCAGCGCACGCGTAACTCGAAATTCGCAAGTAAAAATCACACAGTACGGTAAAACGGCTCAGGTACGAGAATGCAGAAGGTCCAGCTGATCAAAATATCGTGCCACGATACAGATGAACAAATTGAGACTCCATAATAGTTTATGGTCTCGATGAGGCTGAAAAAATAATAAAACGTCATGAAGATCACCAACTAGAAAACTGAATAAAAAATTTTAAATCAACCGACCAGCCTCGCTCTATAAATCGAGCAGAGCTTAGCAAGTTCTCGCAGTGTCGATGTCGTCTCGGCCAAAAGCGGTTTTTTGATGGCACACAATAAGGCGAACAACCAACTTCCTTGGAAATGTGAGAAACCGATGTCGCGCATCCGCTCCACATGCAAATCCAGCAATTCCCGGACTCTCACCTACTTAAAAAAAATATTTTTAGTATAGTGGTAAAACGGATAATGGACTCAACATTATGGATGTTCGCAATGTGTAATCGCGCATCACGGTTTCGAATGGTAAACCCTGTTTTAAATGAAGGATTACATAAGAAGCAACTGTCTTTCCAATAAGGGGATTGCTACGGAAAATGTGAATAACGGCTTTTTAAATATTCTTTATTGACTTGAGTTTTTTACCTATACTTCTGGGCGTTTTTCCTGCTTTCCACGATATTCTTCCTTAATCATGCACTAATTCAAGCATATAATTAAGCATTATCGAGGAAATAAAAAGACTAAAAAGACTTAAATAAAAAGACTGTGGAATGAATTCGTCATTCTACATACAAAAGTCTCAAATAATCTGTTCAGGTTTTCGGGAGTATGGAAAGATTTGATCATTCTATGTAGCTAAAGATTATTCGATCGATTTTCTAATGCCTGACGTCCCACTGGAAAGGACATCCTTCATTAACCGAGTCAAAGTTAAATTGTTTAAAATTGTAATAACTCGTATCCATTCTTCCAACGTATAACATACCTCATTAAGGATTTCACCAAATTACCTGCGGTATGGAAGCTATGATGGATACCAACGGCTCTGTTCCAATCCGCGTCTCGCTTTCATCCAAACAACGATTACCTTCCATTGAGTCTTTATCGAGGTGGGTTAGGATTCCGGCCCCGCAAGAACGATCAGGCTTTGGCCAAAAAACCGTACACATGGGAGTAAGAGGCATTGCGTTTATCCTCCCACGTTCATCGGCTTCACTGTCCGTTGAAACATCTTCAGCGTCCTCAGACACACTACTTGCGTCTGGAAAAGCTCGTGACATCCATTCCTTTGATTTTATCCTCCTCAGTTTGATCTAAATGTACAAATAAAATACACAGGTAAAAACACAACTTCAGGTCTGACACTCTAACTTCAGTTGAAAACATAACTTAGCCTAAAATACCATGGCTCTTGAATTAGCACTCAAACCCAAAAAAATTCGGTCACAAAATTCAAGGTGCAATAAAAATTAATACGAAGCGTGAATAACTAATTATATCTTCAGGCAAATGCGCAGAAATTGTAATCATTTAAATCTCGTACAACCGATTTTACCATTGAATTCCGCAGTGAAGAATTGTTCGCGTAGGACTGACGAAACATATCCACGGCTTCCCTCAACTTGGAAAATTGATGGATTCTTTCGCTGTCCCAGGCTTCATCCGCTTCAAAACCCTCTGGAGCAGGAATCAACGTCACGAACTGCGAAAATCGCACGAAGAATAGGAACGTCGTACCCAACACAAAACATATTTTTTCAACACTTTACCGGGAAATCAAACATGGCTGGTTTCCAATCCTTTCCGCGGCATTTGGTTTCTGGAGGTTCGGCTCGGAATACTTGCGGCAAGGCTCGCGCTTCTCTTCTGAAATATGGATTAAATTTGTGAGCTTTTATTCACGTATTAAAAAAGAGGGCATAAAGCAGAAACTTCTATGGAATTCAATCTGCTATCTAACTATGCCACACATCGTAGTTTCCACGAAAAATTCCATAAAAATTGAATATGCGAACAGACCTTACAAATGCCAAGTATTCTTCAGCTGAAGTTGGAAATTGTAAGTCCATGTCTATTTCATTGATCTTATCAATGGCATCAGGATCCACCCACAGTGCACGAGACATAAGCTCATCATAGACATCTTCATCTCCACTGTCAACTTCGTTCACGTCCATTCTGATGAACAAACTTATTATCGAATATTCTGTGAATCAAGGTACATAATTTTCTTAGACAAAGAGAAACATAGTCTCGGAAATGACAAATCAAGAATCACAAATTTCTTCACGACAAATGTATACCCTGGAATCAGTAACATTTTTTTTCGTTGAATCGCATTCAAAAATTCTAAAAAGCTCAACGAAACGAAACATCTAAAAACAAGTAAACAACGGTTAGAAAAATTACGAACTCCCACCGGCAACAGAAGAAATCGTCATATTATTAATATCCACAGGCAAGATACATTCGCCAGCACTGACATCATAATTGAAGTATTCTAAAAGGGACAATAAATCTGACCTCTAAAAAAATTATTAAATTAAGAAAAATAATCACAGAAAAAATAATGCAACTAACTTTACTTTCAATAGTAAGCATTAATTACGGATTTACGAGCAACACTAGTTGCCTTTGGAAGAAGTATATTCATGCCAATGATAGCTAAAAAAAAATTCTTACAGAAGTAGAAACAAATTATCTGATTCCCGCAACAAGAGCAAAAACTAAATTTCAAGATGCGTAGAAGCCCTCTCGCTTTTCAGAAAAAAGGTGTATCAAAAATCATCAGTACAAAAACGAAAGTCACTCGTCACTCAGATCAGTTCGGGCCTCCCTCAGAGCAGCATCCCATTACGTCTGCTTGGTGTTGAGTGTTTCTTGAACAGATTTTCAGCATGAAATTGCTGCATGTGGCCCGTCAGCGAGGCTTCCCTTTTGAATGTTCTATTGCATATGTTGCACATAACCGGCGGATTTACTTGTCGCACCCCATTAACATCTGGTGGTCGCTCATGACCAATCACATGAATGCGGAGTTCCGCGAGATCATTTGCACGAACTCCCTTAGTCACGTGACCGCAGTATTCGCAAATGTATGCCCATGCAAACGGCGCAATAGTGCGACGTCCTTTCCAGATATTTGCTTCAATCCGTTCAACATTCACCTAGCACAACAATAAAAGATGATTATACTTTTGTGAAAACTGCCTAATACCTCTCGATTTGTGATTTTCAGTATACAGTACAAACCACCGACTAACTTGAGACTTACTAGTTTGTGCGCAACCAAAGCCCAAAGAAAACGGGAACATCCAAGTTTTGTCATCACAATTATTAATATATACAATATTTAAGGAATAGGGGACACATCGTAAGACTGGAAAAATTCTGGCATCAGTTTGGAAACGGCGAGTTTTGAAAACAACAAAATATAAACAAAAACAGGTTTGAAATTCTTGGGATAGACTTTCAGCTGGTGCATCAGAAATAATGTACAGTAAAGGTAATAGAAATCTAGTGACTTTCTCACAATGATGATACTTTCCTACCAAAATGAGTTACTTGAAAGGAAACACGTTGTCTACCAAAAAAAAAATGATTCTTCATTAATCGTGTCTGTATGTCAGAGAAGCAGTGAAATGAATCTTGGGAATTGCCATGAGAAGATCACAAATTTAAATGTTCGTTTCCAGGACTGAACACTTGTGGTTGCCAAGTTGAAAACAGAATTTTTTCCACTCTTTCACATTGCCCCATCCCTAGCCTTAATCATCCACACAGTTCATAATACAGACAGACTCTATACAACGAATTTATCTTCATAAGGATTTTTTGTCTGATATTATTATCTCCCCTTGTTTTGGGATTAATATTCTGCAAGTATATTTACTGGATTATTATCTTCCAATACGCAAAACCAATACGATGCTTAAATTACCGAGGTTTGAAATATCTCCAGAAAGTAGGCGGGCAACTAGGAAAGGAAGCACATTCCTGTAACACAATAATATCAAGTTAATTTAACCGGCACATCCAAGGATTGGACCGCGTCTACGACATTCACTGACACATCGACTGCGATTTCGAAGACTCACTTCAATATGCCCAGGATGCATTGGGAACCTACGAGTCTCGTGGGTCGGCTGGACAGGTTTCACGTCATCTTCCTCTTCAAGATGCTCGTACGTTTCGTCAGACTGAGAGACAGAGAAAAAAGATAGAGGGAAGCAAACGGTTTTAACCTCCATCTCAGACACGTCTGTTTGGCAAACGTCCAGATTAACCTTGAGTTCAAAGGCGCTGGAACGCTTCAGCACCATTTTTCTGACCTGAGATCTACCGACGTGCAATAATATTCTAAGCAATATTAATAATGGGAAAGATTTTTTATTGAAACATGATTAACGACTCACCAAATCGATCGTATACGGAATTGGCCGAAAAGGCAACTCTTCTTCTATTTGAGGAACTTCAAGTATTTCTTGGCCTTGTAAAACGTTCTTCACTCTTCGTTCCTTAGCTGGAAGAGTATTTTCTGCAACTTGGATTTTATTTTCTGAATCACGGACAGGAATGCGGGATGATTTCTTCGAAGATGAATCATCCCTCTTCTTTTCCGTTGCTCCCTTATTTGAGCCACGAGTCTTCTGAATAATACGAACCTTTTCTCCATTGGACTTCTCGTTCACACGAAATTTCCGGACTTTGGAATTCAAGATTGCTCTATCCTGTCTATTTTGTGGTAATTGGTGTTTATTCGGCGAAAAAGACGATGATGTGTTTGTGATTGATGCACGAGTTGGTTGAACACCCAAGCGCGAAATTCGAGCTTTAAAAGAAGCACGATGACTTTTCTGGGAAGGAGATCGAGACGGTTCAGGGAATCCATTCACTTCTTGCTCTTTTCCGTAAACCTCCCATTTACGCAGGATGTTTTCAAAAATTTCTCGGTTGTTTGAAGTCAAAGAAATGTGCTTTCCGTGCAACCGATCAACAACTAGACGTACCACGTCAGCTGGCAAGTCAGGCTCATGCAACCACAGAACACGACCAACACCGGCCAACGTTTCCGTGGTTTGTGATTCCAAGAGGCGACGAAAATAAGGGCTCTGTGCAGCAAGTACTACGCGGTTTGCTGGGACTCCTTCACCCCCCACGCAAACAAGCCGGGCATCCTTCGAGGCTTCCAGACGCGAAACGTCCAATACATTCTTCCACAATGTTGCCGGAGATGCATTCAGCATTTGCGATTCTCACAAAAAAAATCTGAAATGATTCGATCTGGAAATATCATTTTGAAAGTAGCATCTGACAAAAATCCGCAATTTTTAAGGAAGACATCGCTTCGAGAGAGTTCCTGACTTTTTTGATGGGCATGTGAGCGGCCACGAAAAACCTCTAAATCTTTTGCAACTCGCAACACCAAAAACTGTAAACGCACATCTCACAACTTTATTCCGACATCTATTAGCATCTCAACCAACGACGTCCAAGACTCACGCGAGGCACATCCTGCAAGAAAAAAAAAAAACTTCCCCGATGTTGAATTCATCAAAATCGTTGTCATAAGATCGTAAAACCCATAAGGACAATTAAAAGTTAATTTTATTCTCAACGCGGTTGTCGTTCACCTCTCAGGTAATTTAGCCGAACACTGCAAATTCTTCATGCAACATGTAACTTTCCAGAACAATCAAAAAATGAATTTTCTTTACAAGAAAGCAACGAGATCAACACACACAAAAATGTCAATGGAATTCCAAATGCGCTCTAGGCTTTGCTCCCCATTTTACCGCAATAAAAGTCTTTGAATAGAGTTGCTCTTCGTTTTTCGGCAACACACATCTGACTTTCAATGTCCCCACGATCCGTGCTTTCAGCTCTTTCTATTTTCCATGATAAATTTTCAATTTCCGTTTCTAGTTGGGACTGCTGATATTCGAACAACTCCTTCAGCGGTCCAGGCTCCAGGTAATATGCGTATGCATATGTATACTGCAGACTGTACCGACACTTGGCGAGAAGACTTGTGGCCTCCAGCAAGTATTGCCAGTCAATCCAAGTTCCCTGACCCGCCATGACTTTTTCTTGAATCCGCTGCTTTATTCGTTTTGTCGTGTTTTCTTCCAACTTCAGGCTTTTTGCATGATTTTCCCATCTCTCATAATAGAAAAGGTATTTTTTCAAAGCTTCGCGAGCCTTGGCACTCGCCGATTCGCAGGCAATATTCGGATTTTCATTGTATCTTGAGCAACCATAATATTCTGTGCCGTGAGACTTCCATGGCCCAAGACACATCCAACAGAAGTCATGCTTGCATTTTGAGCATTGCATGTGATTGCAGCCACCATTTTTCTCAATGCAAACATTACATTTCGGACAGTCTTTGGTCAACGCACTGATGTAATTTGCAGTTTCACTGTCATCAGCACACTTCGTCAGCCACTTCTTGATAACTTCACAAGAAGCTGGGGCATGATAATCACAAGAACAACGAAAGCAGAACGACGTTTTGCAGGATACACAAATGATTCGCTTGGCTTCGGCCTCACGCACCTAGGATCACAATAAAAGTATTAGTCTCGAATGTTTTCAAGCGAACTTTTGAAAAACATACCTTGATAATTTTGCTGCACTTCGGACCAGGACAAAATCGGAGGAGGGGATATGCCTTTACATGATCACAAAAGGCCAGATATTGATACTGCTCTCTGAGAGAGGCAAGTGAAAGCAACGGGAGAACGAAGTCCTCGGGTGCCAATACTCCACAACTTTGTGCCATGCAAGAGATTCCGGTGGAGGTTCCACAACGAACTTGAGTTTCGAAATGTGTGGCCCAACAATCTTTGCAGAACATATGTTTACACGCAAGGGAGGCGAAACACTCTTTTGGATTCTTCGAAATGCAAACGGGGCACAGCATGAAGCCACCAACTTGTTGGGCACCACCTGGCTCGTTACAAGTAACCGGCTTCACGTGGGTTTTCACAAGCACTCCATCTAAATTTTCAGCACCTTCCGAAAGCACAGCTTTCAAATCCCATTGATACCCATGAAGAAGTGGACGGGCAAGCGACGGCTTGATGTTGAACGCATTGCTAACTGCATCCACGCTTTCGTTGAATAGACGTTCAATGGCTTCCACATTGAGGCATTCGTAGGCGAAGTGTTCGGGATCCGAGCTTGACGCCTCAGTCTCTTCAGGGTCGTCTTCTCCACGGTAGTAATCCCAGTCGTACTCTTCGTCCGAAATTTCTTCCCCGCTTGAAGCCATTTTATGAGAGGGTTTCGAGCAAGATCGACTTTCGGCAGCAACCAGCTCCCAACAGGAAGCGTTGCTGATCGGTCGGCAAGTGCGTTCAATCAATGCAACAAGTAATGTCAAACCCTGAAAAAGCGAAAATAATTTTTCACATTCATCAAACCTTATGGGGAAAATACAATCATGTGCCAGAAGTGCAATGGTTAGGCGCGCGCATGATTTTGCCTAAAACGTACATGGGTCTCACAGACTCAAAGGCGAACACGAGAACAACTTGCATTGATATCCAAAACAGCACGAAGGACACAGAGAAAGCGATGATTAACTAAACAGATCCCCAACATCAGAATCAAATGCATTGTACAAGTATATTCATGAGAAGAACATTCCAGTGGATATTGTTCAAAGCGTTCAAGATAGTTCCGAGCACACACGGAAATCCTTAGAAACACATGACTAATTAAACACGACCGAGCCAACTTTGAAGAGGGAGTATTTCAAGAAATAAGTTCCCTAATACACTGCTCACTCATTGTGACAGAAATACACCATATCACAACCGGTTACCACTTAAAACAGAAATCCAACTGCCTCTAATCCACATCAACCTCTTCCAGGGGATACACATGCCAAAAGCCATGTTATCCTACAAGCCTACCAATGCAAGCCATATTGTTGTACTGTACACTTGTATTGTACTCCTTCAGTGATTGCTGATTCACTGCATTGTAGTCACACGAGACAGCTGGGTAAATTTGAAACATCCTCCGGTTTATCAACTGCGCTTATTTCAGACGTAACTTGAATCCTGAAAATCCACTTCCACAACAACCCCACTCTGAAACGTTTTGTATACTGTAGTGCATATTGTATAAGCCTCGTTCTCTGGTTTGGGTCACCATCTTAATTGCCGTACAACGAAATTGAGTTTTCGAAGTGTGTGGCCCAACAATACTGTATTGGGAATACAGTACTGAACTGTACACACGTTTACAGGCAAGGGAGGCGCAACGCATTTTCGAATGGATTGGGTTAGGCTAATACTGCACATGTACCCTCTGTCATTGAGGTCCAGCGGGGGGAACACGGGCACACGGGGCCCGTGACACGAGCGGCTCTAGAAAAAATTCGAGTGACATCTACAAGCATCGCTGATAAATCGAGATACGTTTCAAATGTACCCAGCAGTTTGAGGTGAAATGATCAACGACGTTGAAGCAATGTTCATGTTTAGGACAGGCTTCGGGAAGGCATGTCCGAAAGCGCTCTGACGAGCCGTCGTTTTGACCGATTTTGGAATTATGAAGTGAAATCTTAGCTGAATGTAAGGCAATGCAGTATTGCTTTATCAAGGAACAGGGTAGCAATAGGAAATCGGGGTTTCCGAAAAGTACTGTTTTATTGGCAATCGGGAGTTACAGTACTGTACATCGTTTGTGGAGCTACATTCAGGCGAACTCGTGAGAAATCAAATTATTCAATTTGGTCCTAGTTCTGAAAAGTTGGGACGCAATTATGAATATCAAATATTACCCAGGTTTTCTTAGTGTTCCCGGTGTAAGCTTGAGCGCGTATAGCAAATTTCAGCGGAAGTGTCTTCAAGCGAAGACACTCGTCTGGCTTAACTTCAAGTCGCGTCCACAGTCATTCCTTTCTTTCATATCCGGAAACTCTGAGTTGGTTCAATATCAGTGCTATGAGTAATTTTTTTTCTGATCATTTTCATCAGGATTTCGCAGCTTTTCAGGAATGTGACTTATCGAGGTAATCGGTGAAACATTTTGAATCAGTGATCAAGGTATTAATTTTTCTAGCGTCTGTGATCGCTAGTACCTATGAGCATCAGAGAAATACCACTTTTGGAGGTGAGTCGGTGTGATTCGGGATTTCAGCTTTGTAGAGCTCATAACCGCAACTTTTCCCAGGTGAAGATGCGTTCATAGGGGTCGGGCAGACTGGAAGATTCAGAATCCTCAAGTGCCGGAGCGATGGATCTCACGACATTCTCGCAGCGAGGTCACCCTCTCTCCCATTCTTCAATCGGTCTCGGGAATCACATGGGATATTCTAATTTTATTCCCTTCATGGGTATGGCAGACAACTCATGGATGGAACGAATGCAACAAGCAGCTCTTCAGGCAGCTGCTGCGTCTCCCCCTCCTGCTCATTCCAATGTTCGACCAAGTGTTCCGTTGTTAAAACCCATGAGAAGTTCCCCACCGCAACCACCCGGTGAAATTGACGACCGGCCATCCGAGTCGGCGCGTGACTCGCCAGAAGAAAATGATAAAGGTGGAGGTTCGCCGTTGACGAGGCAAGCCATGCGAGATTACCTTCGAGACCGCCAGGACATGGTCGTGATTGTGACGCACGCGAAAGTCGTACAAAAATCCTACGGGAATGAGAAGAGATTCTTCTGTCCTCCACCGTGTGTTAGTCTACTTGGTGATGGATGGCGGAAAAAGCGCTTTGCTGATAATAAGAAAGAGCCTGAAAATTTATGTGCATTTATCGGGATCGGAAACAATTGCGACGATATGCAACCTCTGGATTTTGCCGAAAACAAGAGCGTGTCGACTGCGAAGACCTTGTTCATATCGGACACCGACAAGCGGAAGCATTTTATGCTAAGTGTCAAGCTGTTTTATGGCTTGGAGAAGGACCTGGGAGTTTTTCACGGAAAAAGGATCAAAGTGATCTCTAAACCATCGAAGAAAAAGCAAAGCCTGCGAAACGCGGAGCTGTGCGTCGCCTCCGGCACTCACGTTGCTTTATTTAATCGTTTAAGATCCCAAACAGTATCTACGCGATATCTCAGTGTTCAGAACGAGAATTTCTGTGCAAGCTCATCGTTGTGGGGCGCCTTCACGATTTACCTGCTGGAAGACAATGAAGGCGAATCCTTGGAATTCACCGTTCGGGACGGCTTTATCCATTACGGAAATACCGTAAAGTTGGTCTGCACGAACACAGGAATGGCATTGCCTCGATTGGTGATCAGAAAAGTCGATAAGCAGCACGTTCTTCTGAATGCGGATGATCCGGTCTCTCAGCTGCACAAATGTGCGTTTTACCTCAAAGACACTGATCGCATGTATCTGAGTGTTGCGCAAGACACCATAGTACAGTTTCAGAGTCAACTTGAAGAAAATGGTCGAGAAAAAATTAGTGACGGCGCCACCTGGACGATTATCAGCACGGATCGAGCGGAATACAGGTTTGTGGCGCGATTTTTCTGCGTCTTTGAATTTACTGATTTGCCAGGATGCTTATGTACTTATTTGAGTATCTTGGTGATGAATTCTGCTGTTGATATTGTGCACAGGTTCTGCGAAGGAATGGGGCCCGTTAAGCGACGAGTAACGCCGGTTCCAGTGGTACACAGCATGAATATGAACGGAGGCGGAGATGTTTCCATGTTGGAGCTAACGGGAGAAAATTTTTCCCCGAGCTTGACAGTATGGTTTGGTGACGTTTCTGCCGAGACACTTTACAGGTGTGAAGAAAATATGCTGTGCGTGATACCGGATATTTCGTCGTTCAAGCATGGCTGGCGTTGGGTCCGGCAAACTAAACAAGTGCCAGTGTCTCTCGTCCGCGACGACGGCATAATCTATTCCACGAAATTGACATTCAGCTACACTCCCGAACCAGGACCCCGACCACGGTGTGAAATCGTGGAACGAATCCTGAAAAGGAAAAATGAAGATGTGGATGAAGAAGACGTGGGTGCTCCGAAAGCGTCTAGTTCTTCATCTTCCTCCGTGTCCTCTGCTTCGTCAGATTGCTCATCGCCGAACCCTCTTCTTCACAAAGCCCTCCCTGTACGGCTTCCCTGAGTGTTAGTGACTGTCCTCCTTTCGGGAAGATTTGGTTCTTTGAAAGCTTCTGCGACAGTCGTGAGTAAACTACGAAAGCCATTGTCGATCGCCTCGTCGACAAAATGATTAGTACAGGGTTTGAAGCAGAACGGGTGTTCGTGTTTTTTTTTTCAATTTAAACGGTGCAAATACTGAATTTAATGGAGCCCAAAGCCAATTGCTTCGTCGTTAGTGGAAAGCAATGCTCTTGACCACCGTGAATTTCGCGCCAAATGACCTTTCCAATGCCAAAAACGAACGAGAGAAAGAAGATAATTGAAATCGTTTATAGCATTTTGATCGGCTCTCGGTAAGTTTCGAGAACTATGCGGAGGCATTTACTTGGTTTTTAATTTATAATTCCCTCAAGGTCTTTTCAGTGTCTATTGACTCGATCGATTGTGAATTTTTTCCAGTTTTCATCGCTAATTTTGCGACCGTGATCTCCCGTCAAATGAGAGAATTTTTGCGGATTTTTTGAAGTTTTTTTTTTTTTCGTTCTTGACTTATTTTTTCTAAAAAAAAAAGATTGTACCTCTTGAGAAAAATCGCCGTGTTCTCGTCTTGTGGAGAAGGCTAGAACAGACAATTTTCAGCGCCCTAATTTGTAAAGATTCTGCAATTTGGTGATGGCGAACGACAATGAATGAGAAGCATTTTGTATCCTACAAGTTTTTTTTTTTTTTTTGGAGAAACCTGTGCCGCATCATTGTTGATTTCTGCGGCAAGTGACTTCAAGTTCGTCAAAATTATACGAGCTCGTCCTTGATAAACTGAGGTAACAAGGACAGGGAAGGGAAATGAAACGCGAATGCCACTCATGAAATGCTGTGATTCTTCACGTGGAATAATCTGTCCTCGGGGGAGTTTTATTTTATATGTAAAAATCATGGATGATGCTCAGATTAGATACTCGTTGTTTTGTCGATGTACACGTCCAGAAGACTCAAAAGAACTTGTGTAGTAGTTTACAATACATTTTTTCTTCCGCGTTTGCGGAAGTTGCGGTGCTTAAGATTTGTGGACTTCTGAATGTTTCTGTTCTGGTGGAATCTCACGATCTTATGTGCTCATAAGCTTCATTCCTTCCGGCCCTTGCTCGAGTCCTTCACTGTTGTCCATTCCTGGACTTAGATGACGACGGCGAACCCGACGATGTTTTGGTATCTTTGTACTTGTTGTGCGGAGGTCTGTTGTGTCTTGTGTAAGTGCCTGTGGGAAATAGTGTCGTGAATAAATTTTCCGCTTCTTCGCTCGATTCTGTGATGAAGAATCTATTCTCGTGAATGGACCCGTGAGTTTTGTAGCTCACGATTCAAAAAAATTTTTTTCACCCGCCTCGATCAGGTATTTCTTTTGTTTTTATATCACACTTGCCACTCGATTGCGGAAATGATATTATTTTGATATCCCGCAATTTTTCTGGCCGTGTCTTGCTGTTGGTTCCTCCAACATTCGTTGCAATGTTATAAAATTATTAATTCCAAGTGCGTGTTGCTTTCATATGGCTTGCTTCGATTCTCCTTTGAAATTTATTTTGCAGCTGTTTGAAAAAGATGTGATTTTCAATTTCCCAGGTATGTGGTCGGTGAAGAGATAAGAAGATTCTGAAATTGATTCTGAATTGCGTATCATGGACTGGCAAAATGCTCGGAATTCGTTACGAAAGTGGCGCGAAGAAAACGTTCGGTGTTCGGATGAAGTCGTTCGATTATGGGAAGAAGTTTTAATGAAACATTCTTCGAAACTAAGTTCAGAGAAATGGTTGGTTCTCGAGCAAGTGTTCATTGCTGCGCTGGACTGCGGACGGTACGTGTTGGCTCGCGTCAATTCGACATTATGCTAAGTTGAATTTATTAATGTTCGAAGCCATATTGCAGATACAGTCTGGCTGAGGACTGTTTGAATGAGCTTCGAGATCAGTTTCCTTCAAGCTTGCGAATAAAAAAGCTGAACGGCATGCGATTAGAAGCCTTGGATAAAACTGAGCAGGCCATTGAAGTTTATCAGTCAATAATACGTGCTGATGACACGAACAGTTCGGTCAGAAAACGGATGATCGTTGTATCGGACAGTCCATTCTCAGCGATTCCGGTTTGTTTTGTTTTTATCTTTTACTGCGAAAGCTATTCGACTCAAATTCAAAATTTTCTAGAAATCACGAAGATTTTCTATTCCAGGCGCTGACAGATTATCTTCAATTCGCCATGGGAGATCAAGAAGCGTGGTTGGAATTGTGTGATCGATATATACAGATCCATGAGTACGGACAAGCAGCGTTCTGTTTAGAAGAAATTATTCTGCTTAATCCACACACACACTTCTATCATCAAAAATACGCTGAAATTCGATACACAATGGGTGGTATCGAAAATTTGGAGTTGGCTCGTGCATATTTCTGCCAGGTAATTTGAGATCGTTTATTGTTGTGACCTGATCGAGGGAACGTCAGTGTCGAAGAATTTTTCATAAATTTCCGCTGAAATTTTCGTGTCGAAATGTTCAAATTATTAATTCATAGCTGTAGAATATGATCATAAAGAAATCTAGATTATCAAGGAAGTAATCAAAGGTCTACCGGCGCCATAAAAATTCGTTCTATGGGGGATATCGTTTTTGAGAGCGCGTCTACCTGTATAATAAACATTTTGAATTGTATTTGCTGCACGCGCACCTTTTTTTTTCTTTCAAGAAATGCGGTACACCATCGTGAGATACAGTACAAATTTTCAAGAGAAATGCTTTAAGTTTTCAACATTTCTTCCCCGCTTGCTTATTTTTCATGGTTTTTTGAATAATTCTACAGTTTGCATGAGACAAAACATCATCATTAAATTTTAATTCGAATCATTCAAATTTTAAGTGGGTTTGTATTCTGATTTATACCCCGTGTAGTTTTAAGAGAATGTATTTTGGTAATTGAAAACTCGTGCGTGTTTTTATGTGGGGATATAATTATTTTTCCAAAATTTGAGCTAAAAGACTGAAATGCGTGCCTTATTTAATGGCGCGTGGTACTTCAGTAAATACAATACGATAATATATTTTTGCAGCTGAGATTTTTTTCTTTTTGCATGTGGAAGTCTTCTAATAGAATTTACTTTCCTTTAAAGGCGGTTAAATTAAAAGAAGATAACGTCCGGGGTTTATATGGAATTCTGCTAACGTGTGGTCACCTTGCCGGCGCACCGAAGACAACTCCGGCGAAAAAGAAGGAATGCTCTCGCCTCGCTCGGTGGGCGGGTGATCGAATCAAAGAGCTGTATAGTGGCGACACCTCGTCCGACTGTCCTCCGCCAGAAATGCCGACTGCCAGCAATCAGTTGACATTCCCTGACTCTGGATCTGCGAAGTCTAAGAAGAAACCCAATAGCCCGAATGCCGCCGCAGTTTTGCCTGGAGGGACGAAAACCGGCGGCTCTGACGCGGAAAGGCGAGACTTGGGAGACATGGAAGCTGTTGAAGCGCTCATAAGTGCCTTGACCCTTGTTCCTGCTTCTGGGGTTTAACAGCGCGAATTCGTATCGCAAGTTTTGTTTTCTCGGTCTTGCCATTGTCTCCTTTTCCCGTTCAGATCTTTGAGAATGGGTTATTTTCGCGATTCACCAATGACGTGTCGTGATCTTTTCATGGAGCCGTATTCCCCATATATTTAGGCGTTGGGTTCCATCCGTCGTGTTTTATGTGAACGGTTAGTCATTTTCGGCATGTACATGGAAATTTCTTCACGTGTACGAGGGATGGTGGATACATTTTCAAAGTCAAGTCCATGACTTCACCCCAAGTGGTTGCAACGTTTTTATTCATTCATCCATCTTTGAATTGAAAAAAATACCCCAAAAGCTCAGAAAATAAATACTTAAGTTCGAAATGTTTCCGCGTGTCAATTAATGATCTAAAGTAATTGTTTAAATACTTAACGGAGTAAAAGTTCAAATACTTCAGATTGGATTCATGGAAAGAAAATAATAACCGAAATGGGCAGAAAGTTTATTTCACTACATTTCCAGAATTTAGAAATTCCTGGTTATGCACTCTAATTTTTCACAAAATTCAGGACCATCCCTTGTATCGCCTGGAAATTGCGTTCAGACTTCTGGTTTCAGACGGCGCAATATATTTGCCGCAGGGAAGATGCATTGGTTTGTTTGTAAAATCAGTGTCATCACCATGTCTTGAAATTCTGAGCTGGAATCTAGTAACGTTGGTGATGTTATAATTACGGTAGCTCTTATGAACTTCTATCACTTGGTTTGAAATATGTCGAAGGTTCGGTTGAACGTACTGTACTTCGGATGCAGATGTGTTCAGATCATTTGTTTTTTGGTGCTTCGGCTTCAGCTTCTGCAGACCTCGTATTTCGTTCTTTAAAGAAAAAAAGTTATCCCGGCTCATCAACCTTGATCTCCCGTGTGAGAAAACCGCGGCGTGACTGCATGAGGTGAAGATCGAAACAATAACTGCTTGACTGGTTGATAAGTGTACTTACAGCGGAAATTCTGGGTGGAACTTGTGTTGCTGTTCTTGAAATGTCCTCACCTTAGTTTCTCCGCTTTATCCGTTTTATTCTGTGAAGAAATTGTAATCCTTTTAACGTTCAGTTACATTTTGTGGTAAAGACATTCCAAGAATTTGTTTTTGCCGTGCAACCAAAATTCGTCGCCAGTACCCCCGGGAATGTAGTACCCCGTGGACCGATGGAAGATAGGATAATAAATCGTGTTTTATTGTCCAGAAAAGTTCAGAAGTTTTCATAATTATCCTCTTACTACGCGAAAAAGAGAATTTATGAATGTCCAATGATTTAATAACGCATTATTTTGATGCTTGAGAATTGCGCTATTCAACGGGAACGCTGGCGATGGCGTCTGTGTTCGGCGGTCGTCGTTTTCCTGATGCCCAGAATTCGTCGACGTCGTCATTTGGAAGCAGACACGTCGGATCGGTGATGAGACTCACCTACACAAATGGATTTGTTTCATTGAATTAGGCACTTTTTCTTCTTGAGGTCGAATGATTATTCAACGTTCTACTAGACCACAGAAAAGCAGATTTCACGGACTTACGAACAACTGCGGTAATCATGAAATACTGTATATGCCCAAGGATGAATATCTTAGTGTGTGTGAATAAGAATCCTGGTGCTCTTTGGGAGTTGGGCAACGAAAGGACAATTTTTGCTTATGAATTCCAGACGAATTTGTTCACTGTTCATCTGATTGACGATGGGATACATTTCTTGTAGATGCGAGTAACGTTTTCTATTTTCCCGGAACACGCCGAGGGTTCTCTTGGAAGAGTTTAAAAATTCCCATTTCCCTTTAAGGCGTCTAACGCCTTTAACCGATTGATGAAAATATCCTTTGCTCTCTGCCCCAACGTCTTCTCCGGAATTTTCAACCGCCTGAGCTCAAAAGTTTTAATCTCAGGGAATAAGACCATTTTTGTAGCTCTAGTCGTACGTGCAAAACGCAGTAAAGTTGCTTTCCATCAGCCAGATGTGGGCGATCTCTCGAACACTTACACCTTTGTCGAAGCGCTTACGTCGGGCCCGACATTCCATTTTATCTCCACATGGACATGAGAATGTGAACACCTTGAAGCCGTAGAAATCTCGCATGCGGTTCCCCACTGCGCAGCTTTCTCCTGATGAAAGTGAAAATGTCCTTAGTCTGTGTTGTGTTGAACGGATGAAAACAGAGATAATCAGCGTACCGTATCCTCGAATTGCTTGACAAACACCAGTTGGTTTTCCGTTTTCAACTCCAGTCATCAAGCAACATCCCGTCACTGGACAATCTACGTTGTCATTGCACAAGTTTGATTCTCCGTACATGGAGATGCTATTTCTGTTCGATGCGTATCCGAGATAATAGCGACCCTGTAATTCGAGAACAAAAAGTATCAGTCTGAACCATGGCGCGTAGGATGACGGAAGTCTCGATGTCTTCCACCGTATTGGCGAAGTTTGAAATTTCTCGATTCGATTCGAAACCCGGAAGAATCTGACCCGAAACTCAGAATAAGATGTTAGAATCAATCTCCAAGATACCACGTAAAGCTAATTGTTGAGGTTCGAGGCTTGTGCTGACTTCCTGCTTCTGATACGACTCCATCATAGTCTTTTATCGTAAGTGACCAACTTCACTTCAATATGGATTTCATTAAGTGTCATCCCGCTTTATATTTTCCTGTATGGACCGATATGAGCCCCTGCTGCATGTGAACTCCCAAGAATCGAACATTTTGTGCTGCGAAAGCTCGAAACGCATCTTGAAATCTTCAGTCAGGATTTCAAAAACACATATAGGTGAAAGTGTTCTCATGACACCACGAACAATTCATCGAAGTACGTCGAGTGTTCAATAAGTGAAAAGAACAGGAAGAGCGAACTTTTTCATTTGATATTTTTTTCCAAATGCTTCGAATCCAGCTTCCAGTTTGAAATTTCCTGGTAGCGTAAATTTCGCCGCGCTGAAATGTCGAAGCATCTTCGTTGGTTCGAAGCCATGCTACTCATGAGAGCGAAGTCTGTCAGACGCATTATATGAGATATCAGTAGGTCTACGTCCGGCACTGGTGCATAAATCATGCGAAGACGGAAGATCAGTTCATTTCCTTTCCATCTCGCGCGGAAGGAACAAAAATGTAATCCCGAGTAAACAGGTCAAGATTGCCTCAGAAATCGACTCCCGCTTCTCCAAAACAAAGAAGAGAAAAAAAATAGATGAATGGGAGCATCAAGATAGAAGAACCCTCTCGAGGAGGATCATCATGAATAAATCAGTATTCCCGTTTCCCAGCCGCAATCTGCGTCCGGAATCTTCGCCCCGTGCGAGGCAAAACGCAAAGCTTGTCGGACCGATACCATGTTTCAGCGGCAAATCTTTGGCACGCTTTGCGGCTTGCAAAAATTATAATTTCTCGTCCCCCTTATTCTTGCTCCTTTTTCCCAAAACCTCTACCGGGATTTTTCAGTCACGCGATCCACATTCTACTGAGCGATGTCACGATAACGGGCCCGGAACAGTGAGCATGCTGATATCTTCTTTCATGCTGTACCAATTTTTTTGATTCACATACGGAATACAAACGCTTCCAAGAAAAAATTCTAATCCTGAGAGTAGATATATAAATGCATCCGCACAGCAGGCATAACATTGATCTTGTTATTACAGAGCTTATAATACTGTACAGTAGTTACAAATATACATAGTACGGTACATATTGTATATGTGAGCAAGGTCAGTAAAAAAGGCTTCAATTGCAAGTACTGTAGTTTTCGTCGGATACGATAAAAATCGCTACACATATCTGATACATGTGAATTTACACGGTATGATTATTGTCTAACCGACGTCGATCACAGGTGTCCCTTCTAGAATAACCAAGCCCATTGACACATACGACGGTGCTGTAGTTCGATTCAGGCGACATCTACAGCGACGAACCAGTAGAGTGCCGTTGAGTGTACCGTACAGCGCAGATTTAGCACTGTTCGCATACTGTATCCGCTAACGGACACTTTTAAGCACTAACTACAGTACTGTATTACCATATTTTAAAAGTTTAAGGAAGAAGTGGAAATAATAAATCAAGGTCTGTTCGTCGTAAATGAAAATAGTGTAAGTGAGAAGAGAATGCTGACATTAGGGGTTAACAGTATTGTCTATAGATAGATTGACAAAATAAATACTGTACAGTACACAGTTGTGCGCCGTTTTTCAGAATTGATACATGCATAAATCTTTGAAATCGATGTTCATTTGAGAGGAATTTTGATCCGTTGAGTTCCGAACAGAAACTATTTTCCGAAATCTGCAGTTTTCTTGTGATACAATATACTGTACAGCATATTGTTTGTCACACTGCAGCTATCCGTGGATGGAAGCGTCGAGCAGCAGCCTGTATAAAGCTTCCCCGAAGGTTCCGCTGCTAAAATTTTCCAGACGGAATTTAAACTACAATTCTTGAGCTTTTTAGCGTTTAAAATCTGAAATCAAGACCTTTTACGATACCCAAATTATAAGTCCTACAACTTTACAGCCTATATTATAGCTAATATAAAGTCTGATCTGAAGTCGGTTTTATCTCCGACGGGAAATACTTTGCTTCACTTTTTTTGTTTCGACTCGTGCGACAAAAGGGTCGCTTGGAATCAAGAACCATCGCGGATTTCGCAACCCGCAGGTCTAAACCAGAGCGCGTATCTCGGCGTGACCAGCAGAGAAATCAATTTACGTCAGACCACATTCCACAAGATAAGGGCTGTGCCTTCATTGGAACAAGTCCCCACAGCACCGAATAATCATTCAGAGAAAGAGGGGGGACTCATTCCAGAAGCGAAAAGCCTCTCTCCTCTGAAAGCAGAATACTGTACTGTACAGGGGAACCCCAGCTATATGAGGTGCATGTTGAGTCCGATAGCGCACTTCGGAACAAAGACCGGACCGAGGGAGGAATACAGACCTAATCAACTTTCCACGACTGCTTTCATTCAGGACCCGCGTTTGTACCATTATTGGCCCTCATTAAGCTTATTATTCTCATTCAGGTTTTACATATACCCGCTACAGGTATTTTCATTATCTTTCGGCGCGACGAGATGGAAACAATGCAAAACGTCAACGACGTCTTTTTGCCGCAGCCCCAAATAATCTTACGGTCATCAGCTTTGACTGGCAATAAGATTTTCCAAGAGAACTCGTATACAGCAGCTAGAATGTACGATATGCACGCGAACTGAACATTTAGTATACGTATGCAGGTTCCCGCATGTGGGTTCTATATGAAGCGCTTTAAATTTTGATAGTTTTGAGAGTAGTTCGAGAAGAACAACTTTCCAGCGCATTGAAATTACCTCCAACTAAAATTATCACACTACAGGTATATACAGTGCTTTATTGCAAAAGGACCTCAGCCAAATTCTTTATTAACGGATGTAAATAAGCTCTTCTTAACTTTTCAAGGACTCAAAATTATAGGTATGCAAGTACTGCTGGAGTAACTGCAATACGTACGACAAACAATTTTTCTCATTAAAATATAATTTCCCTCAGGTATCAGGATGATTGCGGAAAAATTGCCACGTATGCTTGGAAATTAAGTATGCGCAACGCAGAAATTTATAGCACGACATTCTGATACGAATGTATTTACGTACCGAGAAAATTAGTACAGTATATATGATTTGACGCACATTTTTCTGCAGAGAGCATTTGCGTTCCAGTTTTAAAAATATACTAATTGCTGGTCGCACATCTTATTTGGAAGATACAGGCAAACACGTATCTGGTATTCAAGTTGAGTTGAAATCTTAAAAAACAATAATGGCAGGGTTGCCCCATTTCCGCGCAGGAATCGATAAAATACATTAAAAAAAGGTCGCTTCTGTTTTCGACTTGTGGATTTTTTTCAGGTTTTTAAGACGTACGCATCAAATATGTTTATGCATAATTGATGATTACCGGCACATTATTTTCAAGACATTACAAGGGCATTTGCTCCTGATAAAATGCTGCGGATTTTGCGTGCGTTCATTTTATCCATAAATAAAAGGTACAGTATTTCCGGTCTGATCTTGTCGAATAGTACTCCCTACTTGCAGTCAGCAAGAGTACAATGTTGATCAAACCCCGTAATCCGGGATAGGACTGGGGTTTGACGAGGGATAAAATATAAACTACTGTAACTGGGTTACACAACCTCTGGCTATATACGCTGTAAAAGTGTTCCCCAACCCGTGGTCCGCGGACCGGCGCCGGTCTGCAGAAGTTTTTTGCCGGTCCGCAAGAAAATTTCTTCAGCATGATACATTTATAGTTGTCGTTAATTATCCGACATTTGGAAAAACAAATGGGAGTTGAAATTATCTGAGAAAAAATAGAATTTGACTTTTCTTCTTATTACACTTCACACTTCAGTCTAACTTTTTCACCTGTTTGAAATAGATTATTTTCGGCATTAAATCTGAGAAGTCCTTCTGGAAGCCCAGCTTTCTATTTTTTTCAAGACATTCCAATACTGAATTTAGCTGTTTATTGGTTCTCCACTCAATTGTTGCAATAAAGTTTTGTTTTAAGGACTTTGGGGTTAGCAGGTATTTAAAAAGTTTTCCTGGTCTTCAAAAATTGTGTGGAACTTTGCCGGTCTGCAGAAAATTTCATGACAATTTGCTGGTCCACAAACTATTTTATTAAAATTTGATGGTCCGTGAGCAAAAAAGGTTGGGGAACTCTGCTCTAAAAGATTCAAATGCGGGGAACAAATAGAATGGAAATTATACTGATAATTTTGTTTCTTAATATACGTATAGCATTTACTTGAGTAGAATTATCCCTTTCAAAAATGCTGATCATGATGTTTGAGCTAGACATTTGGGGTAAACGTATATCTTCTCGTTGTGCAGATGTGCACACTGCACTTTTAAGCAATGCATTTTATTTTATTCTATAGAAATAAAAGCAGTTGAAACTCTGAACATATTATCAAACTGGTGAAATTTAAATTAAATTGAATCCAATAATTTTCTGTTTATATACATTTGTCAAAATTTCAGATAACAATAAATGACAGACTTCATTAATACCCTTTGATACATTCATTATGCTGAAAGAAATTTCCTTTGTACCTGCAAAACATTTCTGATGCAGACTGCTGTCTACACTGGTTTGCGGACCACAGGTTGCAGACCAGACACACAATTAACTTCCATGGAAATCAATGGTGTATCAAGATATCTTGACTTATTCAGGCGAAGATTCAAGAATCTACCTAAAATACAATTAGACCTAGCTTGATAACTTTGGACCTCCCATTTTAAAGTACCCATCTGAATCCCTTTCAAAACAATGCATTAAAAACCTGTTTAACTCACAGGCTTCCCTCCTCAAACCTTGAAAACTGAAAATTTCTGCTGGAGGCTTTCTATCTATTATTTTATTGAAACCGGAAAGAGAAAAGCAGTAAAAAAAATTAACTTGATGCGCTTTGTAAGGAAGTGAAAGACTAATTGTGCAAAAATAAACTCATGCCTCCAAGGTCAGCAGCTTCCTGTGAATTAATAAAAAGAAAAACTTTAGGGCCAGAAAATCAACATTTATTTCTTGCATTTCATCTATCCTCCCTGCAATGCAAATGCTGGTTTTCCTAACTCAAAACCCTCCCAACTCACATTTTTTTTGCTGGTCCCTTGAAATTTGACTGCCGAACAAGATAGACTGTGTATGTTCATTGATCAAGTAATACTACACTGTATAGTAGTAAGAGGAAGATTTATTCAACAAGAAACAATTGTGCCTTCATTGGATGAGACTACAGTATATAGTGAAAGGGTTGGCTCATAAGTTTTGAAACTTTTTGAAATAGATCCAACAGAGTTTCATCAATGTCAGTATATTTCTTTATTTTGCGTAGTCCCATAATTTGGCAGCACTTCAGTGTTGTTTAGAATACTCCACAAATTTCAATGCATTTTTTCATGCAATAATTCCAACCATCGAAACAGTGCAAAAAAATCGACTTCGTCTGTTAGCAGATTACACAAACCCTGCAACTTCTGGTTGTTCCTGTCCTTTGTGACAGAGAAGACCCATCTGAAAGGGATTGCTTTTGCGGACAAGGACAGCCTCATTTCCGCCATCGAAAAGCGAGCTTACGAATCAACAAAATACGAAAATCGATTTTCAGCACTGTTTTGATGGTTGCTGGAATCACACGAAAAAATGCATTGAAATCGGCGGAGTACATCCAATAACCCTGATGTTTTGCCAATATGATGGGGCTATATATGCAAATTAAAAAATGGAATTGTTGAAACTCTGTTTTGAGTCTATTTCAAAAAAGTCTCAAAAACTTATGAACGAACCCTCGTACATGCATGTACAGTATGCCAAACCTCAGCAACGGACGACAAGACAGCTGCGACGAAGGAGAGCGTCATGAGCTCGGAGCTGTGGAAGCCGGTCCGCCGCATCTCGGGGGACTTGTCAGTGGCAGGCAAATCTCCCCTTTATCCACCCGCCTGAGAGGGTTTCTCTGCTGCTGCTGTGTTGGTGTGTGTCTCCCTGTATTGCTGCAGACGCTGGCTGAGACACCTCTCAGTGCTGCTTTCCTGTGTGCATACATATATATATATATATATATATATATACACTAAGGATTAATACTGAAGTTCTGTCGATTCCTGTCTGCTGGAACTTTCGGAAAAATAATGGATGAAAAGTTTATACGCTCCTGCATGATACGAGGTGAAGTAGCACCAGGAGGTTATCAACCTTTTTCCTTTGACAAGCACCCGTTTTTTCACAGTTGACTTTATGATGCAATATTTCTCTGCATCACCATAACATATGGAGTCCCAAATATCAAGAAAAAAAAAATAGTTTTAGCACCTAGCTTTTAATCTTTGCAGTAAAGAATATCGCAGCGAAACATCTCATTTCTCCATGTGCAATACTTCTTCAATAAATTATCATATTTATATGAGTACCACATGTATCATATTTTTTATGCAAAATTAAGGTAGAAGAGTGGGGTGTACCAGGTATGTGGGTACTCTATACTGTTTTTGAAAAAGAAAAGCATGAAACTCGCAGTGGTGCAGTAGTCTTAATAAGAAGTAGGTTTATGTTGGGGGGAAAAAGTGAACTGGGAATTTTTTTGGTACTTCTCCGGTTACAATTCTTCAATACGTCATTATTACTATGTGTATGATTATTTGATTGATCCTGACTATTTGAAGGAATAAATTATAAGTAGAGTACGTTTTTTTTAAATAAAAGAACTGGGGTGTGTCACATCAGGTCCGTGAGGAAATTGTAAAAAAAAAGTACTGTGTGGGTCTCAATCAACAGTATACGGTATTTGAGTATATATGCGTATGCGCCTATGCGGTGCTACATGAAATAAGTATGTTGATGACATGGTGTATTCTGTTAAAAGACTTTTTAATTCCGTCTTTACGACTCACGTCCATGTTTAAACATTCTTTGTTAAAAACTTTGGTAGTCACCATGCTCATTAAGTTGAGTCTCGGCGACTCGGCGGGAGATGAAAAAAAATTAGCAGAAAATCAGGTTTGACCGAACTCCTCTCATACTTATTCATGCTTGCTCATTGAATAACTCATTAACACAGGGAATAATCACAAGATTGCTTCGTTGATAATTATAAAAAAAAAGTATTTTCAGCCAACAAAGCAGGGTTGTGGATATTACGCAAACGAATAAGTTATTGGACACATTAATTGAAAAAATCAGTTGAGCGTTTTACTCAAAGGCATGTGGTATTCAAATAAAAGCGGTATTTTTTCATTTCACTTTGCAATGCATTAACTATTCTGAATGTAACGCCTCTCGGGCAAATTTGTTTTTAACTTCTTTTCTATGAAATTTCATTTTGATTTTGTAATTACAAACAAAGGCAAGAATTTATCACAATAATGCATGTACCTCTCGTTTTTGTCTCAGCTTTTGGCCTGTTTGGGCTCGTCGTCGACGCGGAAATCCGACTCCTTTACTCGCGCCAGCGACGCCGATCAACTCCAGCACTCCGAGTCCCCGAGGTCGACACCAGAGATAATGACCTCATGACGCGAAAATATTGACGAATTCTAGAAAAAACACGATTTCTTGATGATTGTCGAACCATAGTAGTTAGCCACATCACACATTCACACTCCTTATCCTTTCCGAAGAACCATGGTTCTTATGCAACTTCAGAACTCGCATTCGAAAAAAACTCTCCACTGCGAGACGACTGCGGTTCCTGATATGGGTTCCCGTTCTTCTCTTATTTTTCATACTGTGTACCACTGAAAAAAATATATACATTGCGACAGCAACTCCGAGATAATTAGCATCTGTTTCCGAATTTTACATTTATTTTCCTCCTCAAATTGGCCGTGCACTCTGGTTGAAAGCGACAGTAGGCTGTATATGTGAGCAAAAAGTACGCACCCTGATTTCGTGCAATTTTTAAAAGGAAGAAAATGCGAAATAACCACGAATAAATCACAATTTGAACGTGAAAATTTCGCCGACTGGTTCTCATAGTATTGTCTTGTTCGTTTGGAATAAAAATCAGCCGACTGATTAGTATAGGAAGTTAGACCGGTGATCTTTCCAGTCTCATATTGCCGGATAATTGAATTGACAGCTAGTCGCTAAGCACCAAAAGAAAGGCACATTTGATAATTTGATCAATCGATTCCTTTTGAAAAGCATCAAGGGTTATTTGTTCTGCTCCATCGTTCAAGGTCTTGCTCTTCAGAATAATAGCCCGAATACGACCTCAAAAATTCAAGTAATGGTGGTTTGTCGGGAGAAAGCTTTCAGCGTAATGAGATCAATAGATTTCAGCATTCCCCGGAAAATCCACCCAAGGATAACTTGAAAATATTTTTTTTTATTATAGGGAGGTTTTCGACTCAGGGTGGTTTGAGTTGGCAAGGTCCAATTGTGTTTCATGCAACATTTTCAGTGAGAAATATCAGCGAAGTTCCACTATAAAGCATTTCCTGATAAAAAGGAAATACTGTAAAAGAATGGGTATTTTATGCATCGGCATTGGATTCTGTGAAATTATTTCGTCTAAATGGAAGTTGATGTATCAGCTCGAAAGTTTTGCTGGTACCGGTATCAGCAAAAGTCAAGGAAGTAATTATGGTTTGAAACGTTAAAATAATCATCGGGTTTAATTGTCTGGACGGTTTAAAAGTAATTTTATTGATTTACTATATCGGGGAAAGTTTTATTAAATACAGTTATGATCATGGAAAAATCGAAGCAGTGCGCACAGCATTGTTCGTTATCTATTTTTAAATATGTTATTTTGAAGAGACGCTTTGTCAACTGAGCGCAGATTCAACATTTCACTTGCATTTATGTCGTATTTCAAACTTCATCAGAGTTTCGATCCACACGAAGCTGAAGGCTTTTCCTTGTTTCAGATCACCACAAACTCTTCATTAAAAAAATCGACCCGAGCCGAAAATTCGTCGTTAAATAGGCACGAAAAAAAAAAAAACTTGGGCAAATAGACAGAAATTTGGGACGGAATATTTCCATCAAAAAGGACAAAGCCGTCAGTATCGCGACGCCTTTTTGGAACCAGAAAGCAACATCATGACGACAATAAGCTTGCCGAAGCAGAAGGAAAACAATGGCACATATAAAGGCATTACAGCTGCCTCAGTTGCTTCTCATTGTCCGAAATAACCACATTATGCCTGGCTTTCTCGCAGAAATTGTCCTCGTTTCTTCCTTGCACGCAAACAAATGTAAACAAAAAACAAATGGCATTTCATACTTATGTGATCATATTGGACGCGCTCAACTCCATATAAGCAGCAGCCGGGTTTTAGGGGTTCTTCGAGGAAGGAGATAAAATCACAAAATTTCGTTTGTTTCGGAGTGAAAATTCGAAATATGCAAAAGTAAAACCTTTTAAGAAGGCTAATGAAAAATGTAGAATGTTTGAGATCTACCGAGAACAAAGGGCACAGTTGAAAGACCGTCATTAGGAGGTGAAAAGGGTTCCTTCTGTGAATATGTCGTGAGCATTCCTACTATTATCTTCTGATGTCTAAAAATCTCGAACATAAATGCGTATATTTTTTACACACCACATCGACGCAATTGCACGGCATGTATAAAAAAGTATGAACAACAAGCCCATTTTTGGCCAGAAAAAAAAACGCAGAATGAGTCGCAAATCATTATTTTTTATTTTGGAAAGAAAAACAAAGCCTATATACATTACATGAATACAAAATATGACTACAGCGTTTGGTCAGATAATTTTTCAACAATAATAGTCGGCAGATTAATTCCTGCGGAACAATTTTTTCAAACTTCAGTCGAACCTCTTTAAATCTAAATTCAAATGACCACGTTTTTAGCTCGATTCCTCCAAAACTCATCCCCATCGTTCGTAAAAACAACGCCCTTTATATTTTTCAACGTCCTTTAACATTATAATATTTGGATTTTGACGAAGAGTTTACATGCTCAACTGTCTACGCTGAACTTGGAGGCAAGTGCTTATTTGCCCACTGATAGTCTTTCACTTCCATTCAAAAAACTAGTAATTTAAAAGTAACGAAAAGAGAAAGGACACGGTTATTTCATTATCGGTATTCCGGGGCTTTTTTAAGCTCAATACTTCGAAAATTCTCCCTTAAGAAGCTCAATCGCTCTAAAAATTAACGTCTTTCAGAGGGAAGTCAAACAGGGACATAAAAAAACATACAACAAATTTCGACATACGGAGGCATTCGACTTAAGGAGGTTCGAGTTATTGGGATAAACAACTGTATACATTTTTAAACGTTAGAGGAATGCTCATTTCATTTTTCAAATCCGATCAGCAGCTGAGAAATCATTTTGAATTTCGGCCACATTCTTTATAACAATTTAGCCAATATCCTCGGATATCTCGAGTATAAAATACTGTGTATATTACGACAACAACAGCTTTTTCGAGCGACGTTTTCGCGAATAAGGAATTGTATTTTGCATATTGGTGTGACCACGGTGTTATTTTATAAAATTGCTCGAAATCGGCAAGAACAGGTGATCCACTGACGTCAAAAAACTATTCATCTATACAATTGGGTCGGTGAAATAAAAAAAAAGATCAGCGAAACCAGGTAAACTTAACCAATGAAGAAGCTATAGGGGAATGTCTTCAAAAAATTAGAAAGTTATGGGCTTGAGGAAAAGTTTCTCAGAATGAAAAATTAAAATAATGCAACTGAATAATTATTAATTTAAAAATTATTTATCTATTTAAGCTGCATTAGAAATGAAACATTAAAAATCAACGCGATTTAAAAATTTGGACCCAATAGTGCTGGCGTCATACAAACTTTTCCAGGGAATTTTCCAAAATTCTGTAATAGAACTTGCTGGATCACAGTATTGACAATTTATGAGAGAGATGAAGATGCAATTCTCTTTTTTTTCATCATACATTGGTGATTTTAGCTGTTTTAATTCCTAACTTGTAAACATTTTACCCCGCAAAACTGCGGTGTACGTTTTATGCAGGGAAACGTTTTTACCTAATTTTGTAGCTAAAAAAAAATGAAGATGAACGCCTTATGAAAGTTCTTGACACTCGAGTAAATAAAGTTACCACCCAGCTGGAGGTAAAAAAAAAGAAAAAAAAGAAGTGGCCAATGAGTTTCCAGACTTTGAGCATCTGTCGTAAAATTCAGCATTCCGAAAATATAATTTTTTTTACGATGCAAAGGATGCATTCCAGCAAACAAGCCTCACATTCCGATCGCAGAATGCAAAAAAAAAAAAATTTTCAGCTTACAAAAGAATGAAGAGGAAAAGCCGATATTGACTACCTCATCCATTGAGGGATAGCATGCGACTTTTGTGGCGGAATAATTAGACATTTCTATAGACACATGCTCACATTCTTTAAGAATGAATGTCAGCATACAAGATGGATTATTCTCGCAGGTAAAAGAATGACTATACATCTATTTTATTTTACCTGTTCACGTCTTTAATCATTTTTCCGCAAAATCTTCAAAGAGCTAGACATGAAAGCAGGAATTTTTCATCGGCATTCGTGCGATAACAAGACAATTTGTAGAGGAACACATTTTTTAGAGCGACGTTATGTAGTTGAGACAAATTCATCACCCCGCGAAAAGGGTGGACCAGAAAACAATTTGACCAATTTTGAAGATGCAATACATCCTCGAAAGCCAAGCCATAATTAAAAAAAAAAAACATCACATTCTAGAGCTCATGGAAACCGTTGAGGAATATTGAGTCATTTGTCCGGTATTGACATAATCAGCAGACACATTTAAAATTTTAAATGAAATATACCCCGATGAAAACATTTCATACGCTTTTCCAATGATGCTCATATATAGGAAGTTTTTTAACGCTAAACTTTATTTACAGTACCGGAAAAAAACCAGCCACCTAAAAAGTGACCGCTGTTGATTTTTTTGGTCCATCTATGATGTAAATAAAAATCATTGAGCTCTTTTCCCGGGTGGCGAAAAGAAAGGGATTAATTTCAATATCACATAATTTAGGAATTTTTCTGAAAAAAATCCGCCTTGGCGCTGTTGAAATAGCTTCCTCGACTTGAATCATTGAATAAAAATTTTTGAAAAACGAAACTATTTTCGCTTTAGCGGCTTTTACTTTTCCCGCCAGAAAATCAGTCTCGCCAGAAAGAGCGTATTTTATCAGATAAATAATCTTTAAAGAGGATTTCAGGATTTTACTCAAATCCCTTTTCCTCTTCACCGGCCTGTCGTACAAGAGGTCGTTCGGATTTTCTAAAAAAAAATACTTATAATTCTTGGAAAAACCTGATATAACGCCCTAACTAATGACAGCATTTTAGGAGCGGCAGAAATCGGTTTTTCTGCATTCGTTCCAAACGCTCACTACATCTTTTAAATTTTCAAAACATTTTCATAACGCAATGATAACTTGGAAAATGAATTCCACATTGTTTCTGGTAGTCCAACCTGCTCCTGATTTTCGAGAGTGATTTCGCGCTTTAAATTTCATTTCACGTTTATAACGGCTCATGAAAAGGGCCTGCTCTGGTTTACGAACCCATCACGCAGCCCGGGGTGAA